ACCTTTCTCTATTATAAAAACCTCCGACAAACCTCCATTAACAATAAGTTGTGCCGTTTGTTTTTGATATATTACCGTAAGGGCTTGTAATATCTTTTCACCAAAATTCATTTCTTCCATTACTCTTAACATAAAATGCCAATTCAATTGATCAAATGCTTTTTCAGCATCTAAAAATATGAGCCCTGCAGGAACTTGGTTGTTCTTGTCTAAATATTCTAGTAAATTAATAATTTGTCTGACATTATTTTTCATATACCTTCCTGTTATAAATCCTGATTGATCTTTATGCACAAGATGATGCACCACCCTCATAAGCCTATTTACCAAAATTTTTACAAATATCTTATAATCCACATTTAAAAGAGATATAGGCCTGTAATTTTTTGGTAGGGTAAGATCTTGATCCTCCTTTGGAATCAATGATATAAAAGCACTACGCCATGAAGGAGGAATCTCTAAACCCTGTAAAATACCATTAAAAAGATCATGTAATGGTTGGATCATCTCCTCTATTAGAACTTTGTAATAAACAGCTGTTAACCCATCCGTACCCGGTGCTTTCCCTAATTTCAATTGTTGAATTGCTGAGGTAATTTCCTCCTTAGTAATTAAACCATTAATTTCATATTTCTGATCCTCAGTCAGTTTAGGAAAACTTGCCTCAGCTAAATATTTATTTATATCTAGCATTTGTATATTAGTAGATTTATATAGGTTTTGATAATAATCCAAAAAAGATTTTTTAATCAATTCCTTCTGAGAAACTAATTTACCCTTATAGTTTATTTTCTCTATTATTCTTTGTCTCTGTTTCTTTCTTAATTGATAAGCCAACCATCTCCCAGGCTTATTGGCATTACAAAATGTATTTTGTTTCATAAATAATAAGTTGGTTGCAGCTTGATCTGCTATCAACATATTAAATTGTGACCTTAATAACTTTACAGATTCTTTAATACTCTCATCAGAAGGATTTAAAATCAAAGCCCTTTCTTTTAATTTAATTTCATCTTCAAGTTCTCTACGTTTCTGAATCTGATTTCGCTTATAAAAATTATTCATTTTTATCAAAACACCGCGCATAAATGCTTTACCTGCATCCCATACCATTGACATTGAAGTCCCCTTATACATATTCAAAGCAAAATAGTCCTTTAAACACTCCTTTAGTTTTTGAACATTCTTTTCTTGTCTAAACAAATTTTCATTAACTCTCCAAGATCTTCTTTCCTCTTTCTCTTGAATCAGCTCCATCCAAACTGGACTATGATCCGTCAGTGATCTAGGAAAAATCTTTACATTCTTTACTTTATTATACAAGTCCGTGGTAATCAAGAAAAAGTCAATTCTTGAAAAAGATTGGTGTCTATCAGAAAAAAAAGTAAAGTCTCTCTCCTCTTGATTACGTTCCCGCCAATAATCCCTTAATTCCCAGTCTTCTTTCATGTCAAAAAAGGCTTTAGGTAGCCTTGCTTGTTTAAGAAAAGGAGAGGAACCTTTCTTATCCCTTAGTGTATCTAAGACACCATTCCAATCACCCATTAATACCACTGATCTATAATCAAGCAAAGTTATTTTTTGATGTAACTGTTTATAAAATTGTTCCTGTTGTTGATTTGGAGCGTAAAGTCCAACTATAAGTACTTTCTTACCATATATACCAAGTTCAATCATCACATATCTCCCCTGGGGATCTGATTCTACCAGACAAGCTGGTAGGTTTTGTTTAACATATATAACAACTCCCCCTTTCTTCCCAGGAGCAGGAGATATAAAATGAGATCCCAAACGAGCATTAACTAAATATTTCTGGTCTTTAAGTAAAATATGAGTTTCCTGTAGACAAATAACATCATTGGTATGTTGCTTCAAATAATAAAAGATTTTTTTCCGTTTCTGAGGAGAATTCAATCCATTAACATTCCAGGTCAAAAACTTTGCCATCTCCCTTGGCACGCAGCCTGGAGAAGACACCATCAAAATCTGACAGAGCTGCGTGTGTTGCATAACTCTTGGGTCTTGCTCCTCCCACCGGCGGTGAAGCACTTCCAGGAGAACTCTCTTTGGGCTCTTTTTTACGTTGCTCCTTCTCTTTACGCTTATAGGCTGCACGAGTCATCCTCTGCTCTTTAGCCTCCGTCTGGCGTTGCTTTGCCGCTTCTATCATCCCTGCGGAAACCAAATCTAATGCCTCAGATTGCTGCTCAGCTTCCTTACCACTCAAAGATTTCCGACCAGATGAAGTTGAGCCTGCACCCAGGACCGAAGTATAAAAATCTCTAGCTTTATCAACTGTGTTCAATCTGTAGCGTGTCCCAGCATGGCTCAAAACAATACCCATCGGAATTTCCCATCTAAATGGCATCGATCTAACTTTAAGCTCATTGGTTAAAAAAGCAAAGTCTTTTCTACTTCTTAAAATTTTGGATGGGATTTCCTTTAGAATGATGACATCTTGGGCGGCAATCTGAAATCTTTTGTTGTAAAAGGCTTGTATAATCTCATTCCGCAGGGACTTCTTTGTAAAGTAAATCACCACATCTCTAGGCAAATTCTTCTGCTTAGCAATCCAGGAGTTGAGTCTATAAATTTTTTCCACTTCTCTCTGTAATTCTCCTTTATCCATATCCAAGGCCAGCGCCAGATCAGTAAGGACCACCTCCACCAAATCTTGATTGATATCTTCCTTGAGGCCTCTAATCCTCAGGGCATACTCCATCTGTCTATACTGAAACATCAAAATATCTTCTTGTGAGGAGTCCACCTTCCTTTCCACGTCTTGAATTTTGTCATCCAAAGAGTCAACTTTGTCTTCCACTTCCTCAAGCCTTGCGTCAAGCTTAACCACCACAGTAGCCAAATCTGAAACAGCTGCCAATATATCTTGTCGTAGTTCATTATTATTTTCTTGCAATTTAGACTTTATCCCCGTTATCTCTTCTTTGAGATCAGATTTAATTTCTGATTTAATCTGTGAAACAAATTGATTCATTTCCTCTCTCATTTGAACTACAATCTCTCCCATTATGCCTCTAACCTCTTGTACTGAAAGTCCAGGTAGAGGAGGGGAGGGTGGTGGCTGAGCCGGTGGTACATGTTTAGATTGTTGTTGTAGCTGTGCAGTGGAAGTTATAGGAGAAGAAATAACCTTAGGTGCTGAGGAAGGCTGCTGCCTCTTTGAAGCCATTTTAAAAAGCACAATTGTCACTTCCCTTTCCCCTCCAGCCAAAAAGGGAGGAGGAAAAAAAAAAATTTTTTTAAAAAGAGACAAACTATAGTCATTAAAAGTCCAGAGTAAATCCAAAGAATAAGTAGTAAAAGAGCAAACAGTTCAAAAGAAAAAATTCTAAACCAAAAGCAAAAGCAGAAGCAAAAAACAGTCCTTAGAAAGGGAAAGTAAAACAAAAGAGAAAGGAAAAAAAACTCCGACAGTTTCAAAACGCCATCTTAAATCCTTTCACTAGTATAACAAAAAAAAGGAGGAAAAATAGTAAAAATCAAAAGATAAAAAAATAAACACCTAAAATATAACAAAAAATCCTTTAAACTGCTCCGTCCGTTTAAAAATTACTCACCAAAATGCTGTAAACACGGAGATAGAAGCGGCGGTTTCTTTTGCTTCCTAGGAAGCAAAAACAGCTGGGAGGCGGAGATCAGCAAGAGCTCCGAGGGAACACTCCTTTCACCCCCTCTAGAAATAAATCCAGAGGGGGTTCAGGGGTTCTACCTCTACTCTTGCGTTCTCTGTCCCTTCCCTTTGCCCGGGAAGGGATTTCCGAGCCGCGGGCCAGCTGATGCGCGCTGCGCTCCGCGGCTCTGACACTTCCCCAGCTGGACGGCTAAAAGCTAGCCGCCATCGCCGTCGCCTCCCACCGGAAGCTCTCCATACCTTCTATTATTATACCTACTAATATTAGCAATTTCACCAGAAATGTGTTGCAGAGTAGAATAATGTGGAAGATACTCACTTCTGAAAGTTGATATCAAGATTTTTTCTTAATATGTACTTGTTTAATCATAGCTTGCATATAGACCTAGCCTTTAATTTTAGGATGAAAATAATTGTACTTAATATGTCTTGGCAGCATCAATGATGGCCACTTACGTGCCTGCACTTAAGCAAGACAGGGGCTTAACAACAATTATATCACTAACTTTGGATTCTGAAAAATCCAAGGTACTCCAGAATTCTTTAGATATTATTTTCAGATCCTTCACTTCTGTGGGCAGTTGGATGATATTGTGAGATTATGCCAACTCATCCATATCCAAGACTTAAACATTAAATCAAGGGTTATTTGCTTGATATTAATTTGAAACCGATTACTAGAAGAGTCTGAGCATGAATGTTCCTTGCTATCAAATAGATTATAAAGTGGTCTATAAAAATGCCCACTTTATACACAGTAGTGATTAAAACCTATAACCCAAATTATTGCAATATGTGCATGTGTGTGCGCGTGTGTGTCTATGCATGCATGTATGTATGTGTGAGTAGGATTTACAGTTTGTACAGTTTTTTCTAAATACTTGGATTTACATGTTGAAATATGTTTAAATGTATAGAAGTAATTTGAATGGATATGGTCAAATATATTGGAATAAGATTACTGCTATTAAAGTTGAAATTAATGCATATCAATATGAACTTTCATTAAATATTTCATATAGATAATAAATTTTTTATAGGAAACAAAACTGTCTAGAATATCTTTGACCAACTTGTAATTACCTTATGTAGAATAGTGGCTTTAACCTGCCGGATTTAAACTATGTCACTGGCCTTTTATCTTAATTCTGCATTTTTCTGGAATATGATTTATTATTTGCTGAATTTGCTTAGTTTTTTTCTTGTTTGAAATTGGATAGTGGGGAAATGTGGAATTATAAGATGTGCTGATATGTGCTACAAAATTATTATTTTGTAATACTGAAGAAATTGCTGAACCTCAGGAAACAAATCTGCTAAAATTATATTTAAAACATCCTTTTCATAGATTTTTACTCAACTGTGAACCGTAACTGGATTCAGAAGGCTCAAGAAATAAGGAATCTAACAACCCTTTCTGTAGCAGGAGGATTTCGAGATTATCAAGTTCGCTCTGGATTGGCTTTTCTGCCCAGTTCAAGTAGTCAGAATTGTGCTTTATCTGTTGTGGTAAAAAATCTATTCTTTAAATGTTGCTTTTAAGCCTTGGCTTTTGATGATCATTAAATATTACTGTTAACATTCCTGAATAGTTTAGTCCTTTTTTGCCCTAACATCTGCCCTAATTGAATGTGACATTCTAAATTGAGATCTCAATTTGAGTGTAGCATTCATTGGTACATTTATTTGGAGATTCTTCCATCTCAAGAAATAGCACATTACATTTGATTTAGAATTTTCTCTATAGAAGAAAATATTAGCTGTAACTAAACTGTTGGATCCTGCTAAGAATTAGTTTGTATCCATTTTATATAATTGTACTTCAGTTTTTAATCTTTATTGCTTCAGTGAATGAGGCAGCTCACAAATTCATTGAATCAATAAATATGAATCTGCACATAATTTAAATTAATAACAGAGAACTCTTACATGAAGTATGTAAGACCATATTTTCCTGATGCCTCTCAAGCAACAGTACAGCATCTAAAAGGCAAAATGAGCAGACATTTCAAAGTATAATAAGGCAGAATTGTCTGCTGTTCAAAGAGGGAGAAAAGAGTCAAATGTTCTATACGACATGCTTGGTTTTTGGATTTAGTCATAACAATGTAAGCAGGATTTCAGCCATATTAGTTTCAGCAAGATATAAGCTTCTAATAAATAAATAAATTCTTGAATGTTCAGTTTTAAAATGGATAATACAAATCTTCTTTTATCCAGAGTTCAGCAGTTCCTCGAGTCTGGGTGTCCACAGATCATCTTTCCATTGTTTGGTGAGTAGTTAAAAGCTTTTTGGTACAAGGTCTGATATACTGCTGTTCTAATATTTTTATTTGGCTATTATTTGCTTTTATTTTATCTGATTTTACAAGCATATTTCCCTTATATTCATTTTTAGGTGTAAGGAATTGAACTTGGCTACTGTCCGAGCATTTTTTGACCTTATTGACGACAATACTAAACAGGTTTGCATTCCTGGAAAAAGCATTTATTGTTTGATTTTTTTTTTTACATTCCTGAAAGTAAGGGAAGATAGCAGTGTTAGGAATATTATCTATGTTACATATTTTATTAGAATTATAAATATATTTTCATTAACCAGGCTATTTCTGCCATTGTAGTAGCAGGGCTGAGTTCATAAGTTAAAAGTGTAAGAGTCTCAATGTCCTTTCTAAGAAGCTTAACTTTGCCTTCTGCCTTGGGGTAACAATTTTTCAATCTAACAAGATATAGACAAAATTAACAATTAAAAAAAGAAAATGTAAAAATCCCTTTTTAACTTCCCCTTCATATTCAAAATACTGATCAATAGTGGAAATAAAAATAAAAGTTATTTAAATCACAGATTTTTACTGAAAAGGAACTCACATGGAAAAATTATAAAGGGCAGTACAGATAGTCCTCGACTTACAACAGTTCATTTAGTGACCATTCAAAGTTACAACGGCACTGAAAAAAGTGACTTGTGACCGTTTTTCATAGTTATGACCTTTACAGCATCCCATGATCGTGTGGTCAAAATTCAGATGCTTGGCAACTGGTTCATACTTATAACAGTTACAGTGTCCCAAGGTCATATAATCACCTTTTGTGACCTTCTGACAAGCAAAGTCACTGGAGAAACCAGATTCATTTAACAACCAGGTTACTAATTTATCAACTGCTGTGATTCACTGAACAACTGTGGCAAGAAAGATCGTAAAATGGGGCAAAACTCATTTCACAAATGTCCCACTTAACAACAGAAATGTGCTCAGTTGTGATCATAAGTTGAGGACTACCTATATAAGACTCTGGGCAGATGCCAGGGGTTATAGATTTGCTTTTCTTTTTAAAAAAATATGTTTTATTGATTTTTAACACAATCACCTTAATATTTGGTAAACAGCATGCTGTCTGGGTTAGTAGTTAAAAAACAATCAATAACAATTAATTTCTATAATTCTATAGTCCATATAATGGCTTTGCTTGATTTTCTTTTCTTCCAATTATATTCTCTTTTGCTAACCTTAAATTAATACAGTTCTTATTCTTTGAATAAATGACAATTAAATATAGACATTTTTCTCTTGTTTCTGCAAATAATAACCACATCAATATAAAGTTTCTTTTCTAATTGATTATCTTGATTGCCTTGTCATAGATCCTGTTTACAAAATTCTTATTTAAATTTGTTTTCCCTACACTGTTCAAAGCATTCTTACTGGTTAAGATTTTCTCAAAATTAGTTACACTTAAGTATTAAGTCTTTTTTCTCATACAAGCCATCCCAACACTTTTGCATTTCTCATATCTTAAAAAAAGGGGGGAAATAAAGAAAACATTTCTTTTATATAAACCATTATAAAACATTTTTATATTTCTCATGTCAAAAACAAATACAAAGGAAAAAAGAAAGAAAAAATACTGTATTACTTGAGGGGTTCATCCCTCTTAAATTAATCTTCATTTATATCCAAAATCTTTCTATTTCTTTAAACAGAGGTTTAATTTTTAAATATTCCCTCTGGTAAATCCCATCATCTAATTTCTTAATTCTCACTTTAGCTTTTTTTTTTTTTTTTTTTTTGCCAAACATCTTTCCTGATCAATATGCTTCTCTGAATCAAAGAATCTTCCCATAATCTTGTAAGTGTTGTTGCAGGTACAAAAGGCAAAACAGGTAAGATGTTTGTATAGGAAGGTTTCGCCCCTTTGTATTCACTGAGAATCTTTTCCTTTCTTTCTTGATTTTATTTATCATTTTTTTGTCTCTCAAGTTCTCGTAGTTCTCCTGGCAGAATCCATTTTGTCAAATATTTTTTCTTGTCCTCAAACTTATTTTGTGATCTTAGAGTATACGTTATCTTTTCCATGTCCAGTATTTCCTGTAAGTTTTTTTCCAGCTGGGTTAAGTCATACTTCCTTTTATTGTTAAGTTCCATCTTAAAATCTCTCTCCTCTATCTCGTATTCAGTTGTCTTTTTTTCCTGCTCACTCTCTATTTTTATTTTCTGAGAATTTTTGTGTTGTAAAGTTAAATTGGAGATGTGTTCATTTATATTTTCAAAGTTATTTTTAAATTCCTCGTGGTTTGAGATCATTGTTGTTTGGATTTGTGGCAACACAGTTTAGATCTTCTTCTGGAAAGTATTTGTTTTCTTGGTATATTCTTTCTGCAGATCTCTGGTTTTCTATGATAGCCAAAAATCAGGGTTTTCCTTTCTCTGAAGACAGCTTTAGAGTCACAGTCAAGTTGGTATTTGTAATCCAGAGACGTCATTTTTTTTTCTAAAGTTTATAAATAGCCCAAAATGTTCTCTCTTTTTTGTCACAGCTATTCTCTGTTATTAAGACATTGAAGATCACCAAAAACAAGTTATCTTTTCCTGGGCTTTACCAGCTCCTGTAATAAAGCAACTGCTGTTGTATATTTTCATCCACCACTAGATGTCAGCATCAGTTCATTTTTTCAGAAATAGACAATTGTTTACTTCTATTATTTACTTCTATTTTCATGGTTTAAAAAGAAAATCTTAACAGAATCAACCGATTTCAAATTTATCCAGATTAAGTCTTATATTCATTTCATTTCAGTATATTTCTGTTCCCTCTGAAAAATTTAATTCGCCGCTTCTATCTGCAGGAGGGTGAGGCAGATCCCCTTCCTTCTCACATTTGGAGGCATTTTGCTTCTAGGGGGTTTTCTTTCTCCCCCCCCCCCCCCGGAAATCAATTTTTAAGTAGAAGAGAGAAAATCACTATTGATACCCAGTTCCAAACACGTTGTTTACAGTCAGCTTAAAGTAGTTCTTTTGGTCTTTGGCTGTTTGTAGTTTGGACTAGGCTCCGAAGTTAAGCTAGCCTTTTACCTGATGGTTCCTGGAGGGCTTTTCCTGGACCAATTGGATCGACTGCCATCTCTCTGGAGTCAGCAGGACTTCCTTCTTTGTTACCTCTATGGGGCAACTTCAGGCCCATTTAGGGTCCACTAGCTAGCAGAAATCATCTGTAGGTGCGGAGCTACTGTGCAAAAACGGAAGCCTCGGATTTGCTTTTCATTTAGGATAACGCTATTCTAAAAGAGCTTCCAAATTTCATTAAAAATATGTAATATTCCAAATATGTATGAAGAACAAAAAAACCAGGAAAAAATGAAGCATTGACCAGGCAATACAGAAATTAAATTAGTGAAATATTTAGTTACCTTTTCTCTATTCCTTCAGAGAATACAGAAGCCTTGGAAAAGATACTATCTCTGTGTTAATTTTCTGCCTGGAAAATTCTGCTACCTGCAGATTCCAGTTTAAATCTAAGGCTGAGGAAAATCAATTAATCCTCTTGGCTTCCAACCTCTAATCCAAAACATTTAGTGTTTTGTTTTGTTTTTCGAAAGGAGAAACTCTTTTCTGTCTACCAGAAAGGAAAGGGGCTGGGGAATGTGGTCTGCTTATTACAAATGTGCCCAAACCCATATGATTCTGATTGAAGCTGAAAAGATGTTGATTTTGTGTCTCCCAATGTTATTAATAATGGTTGGCCTCACATTGAGCCTCAAAAGCTAATTAAAGTTTTTCTTTTTGTGTTTGTTAATTCATAGATATCAGAAAATCCCCAAAGAAAAGTTCTGGTCCTAAATCACCATTTTTTAAAATATCCAGGAAAACTCTTTGAAGAAAGACCTGAATCACTTACTCAGTTAACAGGTTAGTGTGCCCAGTGTTATGGTGTGTCTATAACTTCCTTTGATGAGTAAGAGTAATATTAAATCCAAATGAATTGAAGCAATATATTTCATTCAGTTTTTTCCTCTTAAGTTCTGGGAAGTAGCATAGGAACCTTTTCTGTCTGCAAAGCTCAGATCATTAAACCATTCAAATGATTTAAAATATTCTGTTCATTTACTGTTGCTAATATAAAAGCTAATTGAAAAAGAATAGGCGACTGAATTACAATACTCAGGTAATCTTTGTTTAGTGACTGTCTTGTTAGTGGTCGTTTACAGTTACAACAGTGATTAAAAAAATAACTTTACGACCGATCCTCACATTATGATCTTTGCGGGCCCATAAAGCAAAGAAAAGCTGAAATAAGATCATAAGCATAGCACTGGTTTCATTTAGAAACTGCTTCACTTAGTGACCAAGTTGTCAGTCTCAGTTATGGTCAGTAAATGGGGCAACCTGTAAGGAGTCATAGATCAGATCTTGTCTTAGCTCTGAACTTTTTAAATAGCTGCTTTTTCAATAAAGATGTAATGTGCAATGCTGCCCTAACATTGTAGCACTACAAAGCCCAAGACAGGTAGTATTCTTAAGGTAAAAACCAAGCAATTTATTTGAAGATCCAGCATTTAAGCTTATAACTGCAGTTTTCCAGTATGAATACATTTTTTAAAAAAGCAATGTGAGTTAATCTAAAGGTAGCTTTTTGTTTCTTTTCTATAAATGCTGGAGTATTTTCTAGGAACATTTATCTCTCTGTATATGTGCTTATTCCTTCTCTGTGTGATGTCTGGGCCTGGGCAAATGCATAGATTAAATAAGTGTTGCTGTTCCATGTGAATGTTTTCTCATAATGTGGTTTTAAGCAGACAGCATGATGGTATGAACAAAAAAAAAGTCCTTTTTAAAGTAGGTTCCTATGGACTTCCAGTTTGACATCGTGGGGTGATGGATTCAGGAAGTCAGGGCTCCATCTTCTACGTTCGATTTTGCCCCGATAGGGACTCAAAAGGGTCGAAAGCCACCCCAAAGAAGCAACAAAAGAGGGGACCCTCGATCGCAGGAGGGCGGTGGCCTTTCCGTTTGATCCGAGAAAGGCTTCCAAACCGGCGGGGAAAAGACTGGCTACATTCATGTGGTCAGTCAGAAGCTGTTGACAACCAAAGAAAATAAGCATTAACGAGCAACTTTCGAGCAACGTGGATGGAACTGGGTGAGACCCTATCCTCTCTTTAAGACTTTCTTCTGGAAAAAACCACCCAAAACAAAGAATTCTCCCTGAAGAGAGAGGGAAGGGGAATTTCCGCCCTATTTCCTCCGAAAAAGAAAACCAGTGAATTAATTGCTTGGGGGAAAACAGAGAAAATTACAAGATTAATTTGGAATCAATACATATATATAGCTTTGAAATTTGGGGACTAAAAGTGCTTTTGAGATTTTTTTTATTAAAAAAAAAGGAGACTTGAAAACTTGTAATATGTTTGGACTTAAAAAGCTAGAAGACAGCATCAACAACATCTAGTGGCAAACCACAGCACTACAATTTATTATGTTTAAGGGAAACTTGGCTTGAAGCCCAGACCCAGATAAGACTTTTGTTGTCCTTGGAAACTTTCACTTTTCTAGATTGCAGCTGGGAAAGGGGGAAAAAACCTCTTGGGCTGTTTATCTGTGTGGCAGAGACGATAAACTATTTTGAAACTAGCCTGCCTGGACCCTGAATATAAATACTAACTGACTTTTAGAGCTGACTCGTGGAGCTAGTTACCTGTAGAAGAAACATGCATTATGGATTGAGATGATGGAATACTGTGGATTATAAACCTTTGACTGATGAACAACTTTTAATTTTTTCTCTCTGGACAGAAAGGACATGTTTCTCATTGGACAGAAAAACTTGAATTTTGCTTATATTTGCTTAGGGGAGGCTTAAGGATGGACTGGTAGGCTGTCTGGATAACTTGGAGCTCAAATGACAATTGACTGGAACTTTTTAAATCCCTAAATAGATTGGACTACGGAGATCACATATAAAAACAAAATGAATCTTCCATACTCAGCTTTAAATGGTAAAAAACCATCTCTAACACTTATCTCCAAAGTTCCCAGCTTGACATATCAACAAGAAAATGTTGTCGAAGCTCAGAAGGAATTTTTTTCTATGTTAAAATTAACACAAGACAATTGCCTTAGCTCATGATGAGACTAAAAATAACACAAAGGAGATAAAAGAATAATTTTCTAATCCAAATCCAAAATTCAGAAAATGACTATAAAGAAGGAACTAGTAACCCCAAAAAATAAAATAAAAGTTAGAGGAAGCAGATCCAAAGATGGAGGACCTAAAGGAAGGAATTAACAAACAGACTCAGACAAATGAAGAATTAGAAGACATAGCAATGATACCGGAAACCAAAAAGACATCTTACCTGTCAAGATCGCAGGACACTCTTGAGGATAAGAAAGAAAAGCCAATTGAATAGAAGATAAAGCTGTTAGGAGAATTGTGGGAAATTGAAGAAGGAAGGAGGCTGTTTAATGAATATCAGTGGGCTGAGCGTTCTTCCAGATATATCTTAACTAAATTGTCTTACTTATTCCAAACAATATACATAAAAATAGAGGAAGAACTACTTGATGATTCAAAGGCATTGACTTGGAAAGTTAGTTGGCAAAGGAAGAAAGCTAGAATAAGACTGAAGAAAATAGAGGTTCTGACCCATTAGATGGGATATTATACTATTAAAGAGATTTTTGAATATGGCTAAGAGAATAGATAATTGTTAGAAATAGAAGTGTTATTAGAACTAAAAAGATAGTGTTTATAACTAGAATTTTATATTTTGGTATGAGAAGGGAAATATGAAAATACTAAGAGGGTTTGAACAAGGGAAGCCTTTGGTTGCCCAAATATAATTTATTATGAGAAAATTATAACCGATAGAGACACTTTGAGCACTGATGGGAAATATTTTTTTTAAAAGTGGGAAAAACAGGATATTGATTGAACAAATAGATAGTGCAAATGCAATTGAGATATCATTTGTCCGAAATGGTATAGGGTTTCCTGCCTGAGCAAGGGGTTGGACTAGATGACTTCCAAGGTCCCTTCCAACTTTACTATTACTATTACTACTATATGTTTTGGTTAGAAAAGATATTTGAAATTGACACTACTGATATTATATATAATATTAGAAAAATGTAACAAAGGCTGATATTCAATTGTATATGTATTAATAGCAATAAGAATTATATTTGCCCAGTATGGAAACTGCATAACACCGGAAGAAGAGAGGAAGCACTGGATAATGTAGTATTGTACCTAGATTGAAAAAGTTAATATGTACCACTGAATTACTGATGGACTCAGACAACACGTTGTTTATTAAGTACTTATTGTAAAACTAGAAAATTAATAACATACTTATAAAGAAAGTATGTTCCTATGTTATTCTCATTATTGCAACCACGAGTGTTTCTGCAATCTAGCATTTCATGATTTAATGTTTGATATTCCAACTAAACTATTAAATATAAAGATTTAAAAGCCTTATGTATTTATGAAAAGCTTGAAAAAGAATATATGGTAATGATACTGATGCTAATTTGCCTGCTCCGAACTAAAATCAGAGGAGAGGAATTTGTTTTTATCATTTCAAAAATATTTGTTTGTCCATGTTAAAAGGAAACATGCTATTTTAGATTTCATAACAAAATTATTGTGGTATGGTAATGCAGGACAGGAGGAAAAAAAGTAATCCAGTCTGAAGAAAAGTATTGGGTTTTTTTCAGAAGCATCAATTTGGATCAAGGTAAAAGCTTCAAAATGGTCCTACAAAGGATTCAATGTAAGTAATACTTTTCATTTAAAATTGAATTATTTATTAGATTACGTAGAAGCTATTTTTTTTTATTTTTATAAGGTCCTTTTAAGTTCAGGCAGGTTTATCTAGCAGTGCTAATGTTTGAAATTAGCACCTTTCCTATGAAAAATATGTGCTCTACCACTTATTTACAGCTCTTTCTCTGATGGAAAATCTAGAACTGAATATAGTGTGGTAATTATTGAACCAAGGCCTCCCCAAATCCAGTCTAGCTATTGGGATGTGCAAAACTTTTGTGAGCTTGAAAAGTTCAGAAGTCAAAACGACAACCAAATGTTCCAAGCTCAGAAAAATCATTCATTTCAATTTACATTTCACATCTGCCTGGATTTTTTTAAAAAAACTGTCCAAGCCATGATGATTTGGAGAGTGGATTAATGAATGAAAACAGCAGATACAATAAAAATAGCAGAGAAAACATTAAGGAGTATTATTTTAGAGCATAGTATTGGTAGGTAGGTTTACTGATGAATTTAAATTTTTTGCTATGGAAAATTGGAATTCATGGGTTGTTAAATTATATGACTATCCCTATGTATATTCTCTTTATATTAAACTTTCTTTTTCAAGCTAGTTGCAAAATGTAAAATGTAATAGGTACCATGCCTTACAGATGTTGTTGCTATGTTGTTCGAGCTGCAAACACAAACACTATTTTGCTTTATTGAATTTTGCAAGCAAATATTGAAGTTCTCTGTGCCTATTCATGGAAAAGATGCTTCAAGCCAGTTGTCAAGAGAAGTACAACTCTTACATTGTGGGCTAAGATTGAAGCAAATCTATTGCTATCAAATTTTACCTTAGTTTAGTTTCATGGTTGTGCAGGCATCTGCTGTGACAAGCCTGCTTAATAATAATAATAATAATAATAATAATAATAATAATAATAATAATAATAATAATAATAATAGTAGTAGTAGTAGTAGTAGTAGTAGTAGTAGTAGTAGTAGTAGTAGAAGTAAAGTTGGAAGGGACCTTGGAAGCATCATTGCTTCCATCATTGCTTCCATTTTTTGCTATGAGAATTAAAAAATATTTTAACAATTCACTTAACTGATTTTTCTGTAGTTGGGTAATAAGTAACATTTAGCATGGATTATCACCATATTGATATTTGTGGTCTTTGCATGGAAAACAGAGCAAATTACATTTGTCAATTTCTCATTGTTCTGTATGGTAGAATACTTTCAATGTTTAAACGTTTTATTCTACCGTCTAAAACATTATAGCACAATTTCTTAGTGTATTTGTTTTATTGTGTTCAAGTAAACATTTCTGTCTTTTTCTAAATAGGAATCAGATGGAAAATATTTTATTTTTTCCCTCTCAAACCAAAGAAAATCATACACTCATATTTACTGCCAAAACAGTATATTGGTAAGAAATTATTTCCTTCCTGACGTTCATTTTCATTGTTAGATTATAATGCATCTGTTTTAAGGAATTTTAATGTTTTAAGCCAGGGATATCAAACTCACAACGTCACGTGACGTATCGCAATGTGTCGTGACTTTTTTCTATTGCCGGCAATGGGGTGGGCACGGTTTCGCCATGATGCATCCAGCCTGTGGACCGGCAGTTTGACACCCCTGTTTTAAGCCAACAGCTTCTCTTAACCTCTATGTAAACTGGATGATGTCATAAATGGGAAACTAAATCACAAACTTTTCATGGCATCATCTGGTTTTTGTTTTTGTTTTTTGAATGCTGCTTCAAAGTATTAGTAGCACTTTGGAAGTATTTGGAAATGTTTTTAAGTGCTTGCTTCAACAGAATGTTTAACTGTTCTGTTTCTTTCACTCTTACAAGAAAATAGTAATGATCTTAGTATCATTTCCAACAGTCCTCGACTTACAACAGTTCATTTAGTGACTGTTCAATGTTACAATGACACTGAAAAAAAGCATCCTCATGGTCATGTGATCAAAATTCATATACTTGGCAGCTGACTCATATTTATGACTGTTGCTTGTCTCGGGATCATGTGATCACCTTTTGCGACCTTCTGATAAGTCACTGGGGACATGTCACTTAATAATCATGTCACTAACTTAATAACTGCAGTGATTCACTTAGCAACTATGGCAAGAAAGGTTGTAAAATGAGGCAAAACCCATTTAATAACTATCTGGCTTAGCAACAGAAATTTTGGGGTCAATTGTGGTCGTACGTCAAGGACTGCCTATATTTATCAAAGCAGTTTGCACCAATACTAGCAGCCAGTGCTGCTTTTGATCAGTGCTTTTTTTCTTTAAAAAAAAGGTGCTGGAATTCACACACATCATACAACCCGCCTTGCCTACCCTACAAGGTTCCATCCAAAAAAGGTGCCGGAACTCCGTTCTGGGTGTTCTATGAGGAAAAAAAAGCCCTGCTTTTGATAAATATTTTTAGGAAAATTTAAAGTAAATTATTGATAAGTTAAAAAAAATACAGTAGGAATCTACATACATTTTAATTTGCTCTTTATTCTCTTCTTAAACAAAAGGATACAACTAGTTGGATATATGGTTGTGCAAACAGTACTTCATCCAAGTGGTAAGTGTATTTTATTTTTATGAGATTATGAAAAAAATTTCCTTTTTAAAATATTTATTTAATTGAAGGGAAACCCCCTGGAGAAGATATGATACCTCCACTAGACTTTTTTCAGAGGTAGATAAAACATGTGTTGTGCTGTCTCATTGAAAACTAACCATTCTTCTGAAAGGGAAATTGGCAAAAACCTTCTAATAATCATCCCATTAGCCTGCTAGATATTTCTTCTAAGTTTGTCATGGTCCAGGCTCAGGATTCAGATTCTGAATCAACTCTGAAGAAGTTGCTGTGTCTGAACAAGAGGAAGGGTAGCCTCAGCACACACTTTATGCCAGATATTTTTAAAATAAATTAGAAGGTTGGAAAAAAGAAACAAAATTCTTCCATCCAGAATAGGCAGGTTTTCAAAAAGGACGTAGCTCATTAGATCACTGCACCACTTTGAAGGTTCTTACTCAGAAATATACTAACGGACACACAAAACAACCTCGCATTTTACCTCTATCTTTTATTCAGTTGACAGATCTCGATTATGGGAGAAACTAGTAAGGACAGATATTGATAGGTACCTTCTCAAACTAATAATAATTACAGCTAGAGAAAGAATGGGCCTACAAAGGTCTTTGTCAGATCCTGTTTTATTGGAGAGAGGAGTTAAAACATGGCTGTTTAGTTGTTCCTTTCTTACTTCATATTAATGATATTGTGGCAGCCATTAAGTCACAATTTATTTTCTCCCCCTCTCTTAATGGATGAAAAATGTTACTGTTCTTTCTTTATTCATGTCAGAAGGACCTTCAAATTATAGATATACAACCTTCAGTACTGAGCAAATAAAATACGTGAAAAACAGATCATAAAAGTATGGTACATGTAAAACATATGTAAAATAAATAGGATTAAAATTAAATGACATTCGCTCAGTATTGGGCCACATTGATAGCATTTTCTCTCACCAGCGCAAAGTCTTCCTCTATAAATGTTGTATGCTCCACAGCATATGTGAAATGGATGCTCCACTTGTATGTTAATGTATGTTGATCATAGGGCTCCTATTTCCTGTACCAGGACTGATCTTTGAAGATTATTGGTCAGATTAGCTGACTGTTATGAGAGGAAAAAAAATTGAAGATAACATAGTTAAAACAAAGGTACTTCTGACAGAAGTAATATTAAACATAGCTGGACAATTACTGCCAACAAACAGAGCAATTTTTAAATACTAGGCATCACTTTTCGTAAGTTCCTTATATTGAAAATACATTTAATTACTATCTAAAAACTGCCCAACATACAGTGGGCATTATTCAGAAGTTTTAATATTCTAAAGGAGAACAGCTGAACTTAAAATATTCCAGAGCAAAGTAGTAGTCCAGGTGTTGTATGGAGCTAAGATCTGGGGGTGAGATGAAAAGGTTATTGCTCAATTGGAAGAAGTCCAAGGAAATTTTGCAAGTGCCCCATTGAACAATGCCTATGTCCTTGTGGTGTTGGTCAAGTAGAAGGCATTATTTATTATGTCCTTCCCCTGCCCATTTACAAGGAATTTAGGGCCAAATTATAGTTGGTAGGTAAATTCAAGGACTCAGATCTCAAACAATTAAACAATCATCTTGCAGGCTGGTTTCCAGTTGTTAACAATCAGGTTGCTACTTGCTCTGCTGTCATTTAAATTTAGAAAGAAATTACTGAAGTTCTTAGTTGTACCTCTGGCTTTATTTTGCTTTAAACTTCTTACATATAATACCCTTATAATTTGCAATCTTACTATTCTACTGCTACTTTATTGTATTTTATGGTATACTGTATGTTATGACCTGTAATTACAACAATAACACACTTGCTTACTAATGAAAAGAGTAATAAAGCAATCTTAAAGCAATAAGGTATAAAACAATATAAAATGTAATATAAAAGATAACATCTGAGGGAGAATTATAGTAAATAATTGTTAAATATCTACCAGGGAATTATCATTCACGAAAGAACTACTGTAGGGGGAGTGGCTAGGCATAACATACAGATAGTCCTTGACTTAAGATCAATTGTTTAGCAATCATTCAAAATTATGACTGCCTTGGAAGGGTTGCTCTACTACATAAACCATAGTGCTTTCCCAACCCACGGTCACATGACCGCATCTCAGTGCTTGGCAACAGGCTGGCATTTACAACTAGTTGCCGAGCCCCCTCCCAAGATCATGTGATTGTTAATTGCAATCTTCTCTGCTGGCTTCCCCAGAAATTCAATGAGGAAGGTTGCAAGCGAGGGGAGCTGAAGTTTGCAGGGTATCAGCTGCAGTCCTGCAGCCCCATGAAGGATTTCCCCTCCATACACGGAAAGAAGTTGAAACTCTTTAGTGAGCTGCAGAAAGTTTGAGAGTGAGAGGGCTGCATGCTGCTTTAATGGTGCAAAACAACTTTATCCCGTGTTTTTTTCTTACTAGGTTATCCCATAACCTCCCTAGCCTTCCCTTGTGTTCTACACTCTTTTTCCATGACAGATCAGTCCATACCCCACTGTTCACAAATATCTATGTCACAAGGTCTCCCTGGTCCTTCTCTGGGGGGTCGTTTTCAGCCTACTCTGCTCTCTAAACAACAACAACAACAATGGTGAGGATAATGTTAGAAGGGACCTTGGAGGTCATCTAGTCCAACCCCCTGCTCAGGCAGGAAACCCTATACCATTTCAGACAAATGGATGTCCAATCTCTTCTTAAAAACTCCCAGTGTTGGAGCATTCACTGCTTCTGGAGGCAGGTTGTTCCACTGGTTAATTGTTCTAACTGTGAGGAAGTTTCTCCTTAGTTCTAGGTTGTTTCTCTCCTTGAATAGTTTCCATCCGTTGCTTCTTGTCCTGCCTTCAGGCGCTTTGGAGAATAGCTTGACTCCCTCTTCTTTGTGGCAGCCCCTGAGATATTGGAACACTGCTATCATGTTGCCTTTACTCACTCTATAAATTTAGTCCTAGCTCTCTTTTAGCCCTTAGACTAACTTTAGTTAGTTCTAGCCCTCTTTATCTGCAGTAATGATACCTTTCTTCTTTCTTTCCTAGCTTCATCCTATGTTTATTTCCAAAATGTTTTTTGCAATATGTTTAATCCTTTTCATTATAGATCAGCGTTGAATCCAAGCTGTGTATTAGTAAATACACAGTTCACTTCTTGTGTCTTTGCCTCATCGCAAATACCACAAAATACTCCAGCCCCTTTCAAAAATAGCATTATTTTTATTAATCAAAAATAAATGCTTTCTGAGAAACTGCTTTCTGTGGACGCTATTTTTACTATGTCTCAGCTGCTGTATTGAGTATTGATAATAGTGAAATTAAACTTGTTTTCTAAATTTGTTGCTCAGATGAAGAAAAGTACTAGTTTTGAATGGATTATTATGCATTTCATTCTGAATACATAATTCATGAATATTTTGTATAACAGTTCTAATATTTTCATTTTAATATAAATTTCACAGTTTGCAAGCGATTGACTTGTCTTGGAATGCTGAGTTACTACCAACGGTTAAGGTATTTGTTCTGAACCTCAGAAACAATACTATATATGTGAATTTATAGTTCTGTGACTTATTATGAAAAGTATCATCTCAGACTGCAGTATAAGGTTTTGTTCTAATGTTATTATATATTACACAATTAAATATAATTAGATAATCTTTAACCTTAATTTTTAAAAACATATTCAAGCATTATTATTATTTGCATTGTTTTTTAGATTGTGACTTTGAAACTTCAGGATTATCCATCTTTGACTCATATTGTGCTTTACGTACCAGTAGTTAATGGTATCAAGGTAAAATATATATTTTTAAACCAAATTTTCAGAAATGAAATGTGAATATCCTAAATGAATTTGCATGTTATGTCATGGTGAATTTGCCACAGCAACAATCTTGTTCTGTTTGACCATAGCATATGCTGTAATTAAAGCAGACAGTTGATATTTTATATTTATAATGGACGAAGCCTTCGCTTGGTTTCAGTTACAATGGTAAAGGGTACACCACTGGTAGATCTAAAGGTTGAGGAAAGATTTCTATGCGAGTACATAATCAATCAAGCCTTTAGGGTGTTTTTTCTCCAGTATCTGGGTTAAACAACCACAAGTTCTAAATGACATATTGTATTTGGAATGGATAGAAATCCACATATTAATTGTAATATGACAGTAAGTAATTTTCAGAACTACAGAACACATGCGCTGACACAAACATACATTATTCCTGTTAAGTTTGACAAGCAATCCTCAAATTACAACTTTTTGTTCAGTGACTGTTCAAATTATGATGGCAGTGAACAAAAGGATTTATGACCAGCCCTCAAAATTATGGCCATTATATTACCCTCATGGTCATGTCAACAGCATTCAGGCACTCGGCAATCCCATGGTTATGAGATTACTGATCCTTGCTGCCAGCTTCCCACAAGCAAAATCAATGGGGAAGCCAGCAGGCAAGATCACAAGTTGTTCAGGTTACAGACCGTTCTCAGCCTTTCTTTGCTTGCATGTACCATGTCTTTCTTCACTCTTTGCTCACTCTCATCCACCAGTGCTCTCCTTGCCCAGCCTCTCTGCATTCACACTCACATGCACCCCCCAGGACTCTCTTTCACCATACTCACACAATCATGTGCCCATGAACACAACTCCTTTCCTGGTTTCCCTTTGCACACACACATGCACACATCCCATGCCATCTTTCCCTGGCCTCATGCCACCTGACACACACACCTCCTGTTTCCTGTCTCCCTGCACTTGCACACATACACTCCACATCCTCTTTCCTCAACCTCCCTGTGCATGCAAACATGCACACATCCACATTGCACCCTCCTTCCCTGGTCTATCTGAGCTCATACTACTCTGCAGTACTCCCAACTCACATGAGACCTGTGCCAGGACCTCTGAGAACCTCCCCCCACCGAAACACCCCATGCTCCTTACCTGGAACTGTTAATGATCCATGTGTCTTGGGCTTACAGCTGCTTAGACCAAGGGTGTCAAACTGCCTGCCCATGGGCTGGTTGTATCATGAGGAGGCCACACCCACCCCAGCTCCGGCAGTGTGAAAAAAGTCGTGATATGTCGCAACATGTCACATGATGTGGCGAGTTTGACACCCGTGGCTTAGACTATCTGGATCGCCACTACAGTAATAAATGATGCGTTCACGTGATCTAATGCTTTATGACCACAGTTTAGTGATGGGAATCCTGGTCCCAGCTGCTGCCATAACTTGAGGATTACTTATACTTAATAATAAGCTTGATTAGCAATGACAATATGTGGTACAATTAAATAACATACTGTCCTGTTCTTGAAATCATTTCTTATGATGCTAAGTTGATTATTTCCATATATTTTCAGTGCCTAAAATGGAAATACATGGGCTACAGTATAATCGGGGGTGATTTAAACAATTATTTTGTATGTTTGTCTTGCAGTTTATTTTAGACTGTGAGTTCTTTAATGAAGTTTCAAGAATAGTGGAACTCCCTGTAACCCATCTTTTTACTTTTGGTAAGTTCAATTCATTGCATTTGACATATGGATTAATTTTGCTTCTCTCTTCTCCTCTAATTGTGATTTTAAACCTATAATCCTATGCAGATTTCTCTGAAAACTGCTCTCACTGAACTCAGTCTTGTTTCTAGATACATATAAATAAGATTGTGTTCTTGTCTTTTAACAAAACATTTTTATAAAATGGTTTAAATTTTTTCCATATTATTATTTATGTTTTATTAATAAGGAATTTGTGTCTCTCTGTTCAGCTAACATTTAAGATGTCTTCTAAAAACCCATTTTAATTTTTATCTTTTAATTCTAACTAACAAAGCAATGATTTCTACAGGGTTTTCTTCAAGCAAAATCATACTAAATTCAACTGGCCTTATTCACATTGTTCAGCTCCAACATTTTGGTCAGGTATTAATTTTTGAAGTGTATACAGTACATTATTTGTTTGGTAGAATCTAATGTGGATTAGTTTTGGGAAATAACACTAATCTAGTATGTTATCTTTCTTTAGATATATCAGGCTTTTAGGATTTTTATAGAGAGTAAATGCCAGATTCTCAAAGGTAAATTTATTTCCTGAATATTATTTTCATATATACAATTATTTCTTGCTTGTTTCTTGTACTTTTTGTTGCGTTATCATTTCTTAAATCAGACTAGTAGTATCAAAACAAAACAAAGTGAGAAATTACTGAAACCAGTAACAGAATAACACAATAACAACTTGGAAGGGATCTTGGAAGTCTTCTAATACTACTCCCTACTCAGGCAGGAAACCATGTACGGTAACATTTTAGACAAATGGTTGCCCAGTCCCTTCTTAAAAACCTCCAGTGTTGGAGCACCTACAACAGCCCACAAATTGTTCCACTGATTAATTGTTCTAACTGTCAGGAAATTTCTCCTTAGCTCTATTTTAGGTTTAATCTGAAAGTGTGTATTTTAGGAGCCATAAATCAATCAGTCAGCAAGAATTCCACAATCAGAGGGCCAACCACTGAGAAAGTTATAACTCTTTTGCCTACCCATCTTAGAAGAGGGCTTATCATCAAAACCACTACAGCTGATATCAGAGTTCAGGCAACTCATAGATGAAATTCTTATATATTTTATATATAAATAAATTTACTAATATATTGAATTGAAATTAGAATAAATTGGCAATGCATATTCTCATTCTCAAGATCTAGCAATATATTGCCCATTACAGCCAGAAGTTGTGACAAATGTTACGTGAAGTGCCCATGTGACCACCTCTCTTACAACTCCGCATCCCTGCTCTTTCTGATACAGTCATTAAATGAAGATGCAGATTGTTAAACGAAGCAAGGAGTGAGGCTCTGGGAGGTCTAGCACAGGCCCTGCTCAGGACCTCCCAAGGCTTCCCCCACCCCCTGAAGCACCCTGTGCTCCACTTCCCACTCCTCAGGATCCCTGCATCACTTGGGCCTGCTTCTCACTCCACTGGGCCTGACACCCTCCTCCTCAGCCTGTGTTACTCATTGCACATTTATCATTCGAAAATCTCTGGAGCTTGGATTAGTGAAGGAGGAAAGGCCACTGCATTGCTGGAAAATGGTACCCGCTTCCAAGATCACCTCACCTCACACAACCCAGCAATGGAGCGTCATGTCCTCCTTCCCCAACCCAAGCATGAGAGTTCCAGGACTCTAAAAGGTAAGTGCCTGTGGTGACCCAGTGTGGGAAATGGAGGGAGATAGGCTGGAGGGGGGGAGCTCTGCAGCATTGCTGCAGTCTGTCATAAGGGCAACTTTGTCTGTAACTTTGTCCGTAACTTTGGGAACAGATTGTAAGAAGCTTTTTAGGGGTCTGCCGTACCTTTGTTGTAAGACAAAGATTACCTTTAATAGGACCTCTATACCCTACTTTTGGGATTGGGGATGTTCATAAACTTCTGCAACTCCAAAATGAGACTTTAAGAACAAATTGCTATTGTTCAAACCTGTTCTTTTGATCGGAATTGATTGGCTACTACCCAAATCCTTATGATTTGTTGAACTTGAAGTACGTAAAAAATGTTTTATTTCGTGCTTTCATTTGTCCCTTAAGAAAGAAAACCCAGTGTGTATCGACTTCATATACCATGGTCACACGAAGATTCTTTAACTTTGTCACAGTAAGGATTTCTCATTCTTCATTTACATTGTTGAAATATAATCGGCTATAAAGTATTTTCATCTGCCTATTTTACAAAATAGATATCTTTTACTTCTGATAGATAAGCTTCATATAATAGGCTATAAAGTATTTTCATCTGCCTATTTTACAAAATAGATATCTTTTACTTTTGATAGATAAGCTTCATGAAAATTATGTTAAAAATCCAATTTATCCCACACAGTCATCTGCCTAAACAAGTAAGTAAGGAGAGTGAGGCAGGGCTACAAACTTGTGCCATTACCTTTTAACTTGTATACAAGTAACTATGGCTTCGGACTGAAATTGGGACTGGATTTCTGGTTATAAGTCATGGTAGAAAGTTGAGGTACCCAGATGACCAGATCTGATTTTAAGACGCTTGTTGTGACACTTGTTAAGCAAAATCACCATGTTCATTTAGCAAATCCATGCTTGTTAAGCAAGCATCATGGTCATAAATGTGAATTCATTCTGAATTCCAATCTGGAAACAGGCAAAACTGCCAAAACAGGCAAAAAACATCGCAAATTGTGGCCAAGTGACAATGCAACCAGTTGTAAAAGTGAGCTAGTTGTGAAGCACCTGAAATGCATTCATATGACTGCCGGGGGGGGGGCACAATACAGTATTTTATGATAGTTAGAAGTGTTTTAAGGGACATAAAGCACTGTTTCAGGCCTCTTGTAATTTTGAACAATCATTAAGCTGAGTACTATTTGAATAATTTATTTGGTTTACCATCAAAACAGTGTCTAATTTTCTTTCCCCAAAGCTAGCTTATAGACTTACCACAGCTAATGATGTAGTTCTCCTATCCGATACCTTGACTGGATTAAAGTGCGTTTTGAGAGCCTTTGCCTTTTATTGCAAGGACAAAGAATTAGTAATGAATTTTGAAAAAAATATAAAAAATGGAAATCTTGATATTTGCTAAATGCCCTAGGTCACAAGTCGGCAACCTGCGGCTCTGGAGCCACATGCAGCTCTTTGAGCCTTCCCCTGTGGCTCCCAGCCTCCTCTGCCATTTGCAGAGAGAGAGACAGAGACAGAGAGAGGCACTTGCGCTTCCTTGCTTCTCTCTCTGTCTCTCTCTGTGTTTGTGTTTGTGTGTGTGTGTTTGTGTGTGTGTGTGTGTAAAAGAGAGTAGACTCACGGGGTTCTCCGACAAGCTGAAAAGCTTTTTGGGTGGGGCTCCTCCCTTTGCTGCATCTCTGCAGGAAGCAGGAAACAGGAAGGGCAGTCAGCTATGCTGACTCAGGAATTCTGGGAGTTGAAGTCCATGAGTCATAAAAGAGCCGAGGTTGCCTACCTCTGAACTTGTTGGAGAAAAGCTTGAAGCCAGCTTGCCACGTGAGCAGAAGATCAGAGAGAGGGAGAGAGGGGGGAGAGAAAGAGAGAGGGAGAGAGAGGGAGGGAGAGAGAGAGAGAGAGGAAAGAGAGAGAAAGAAAGAGGGTGGGGGAAGAGGACTGGCAGACCAAAGGCAGAAAGGGAGAGGGAGAGAGAGGGAGGGAGGGAGGGAGAGAGAGAGACAGACAGAGACCCTTTTGACATCTAAAATGAAGATAACACTGCATATATCCTGTTTTACCTTTATGAGATATGTATGTTTGTGTGTGTATATACATATACATATGTATGTATGTATGTATGTATGTGTATGTATATATTAAAGGTAAAAAAGGAAATATGCAGTGTTATCTTCATTTTAGATATCAAAAAGGTTTTACGGCTCCCAGTGTTTTGTTTTCAGTGGGAAATGGGTCCAAGTGGCTCTTTGAGTGTTTTGGGTTGCCTACCCCTGCCCTAGGTGACAATTAAATGGCCATTTAATTGAGCAAATTGAGGCTTTTCAGTATCTTAGACTTATTTTTCAGACTTCCAGTAGGAGAAATACAGTGTCATTCAGAATCTTCAAATATCATCTATGGCAACTCGAATGTTCTGATTGGGACATTATTTATCTACCGTTGAGTGCTTCTAGATCTTGTATGTTCATATGTTAAGGTGACCAACCATCCTCCTTTAGGGAGGACAGTCCTCCTTTTGTAAGTTCTGTCCTCCCTCAAAAAGTGTCCTCCTACATGTCCTGCTTTTCAATATTTGAAGACTAATCTGCAGGCCTTTTTTTTTTTTTCTCATACAGTAGAACGCTCAGAATGGCGTTCTGGCATCTTTTTTTGATGGTTTTTTTTCAACTTGCCTGAGCTGTGCTACTCCCCCGATTGGCTTTGTCTAGCCAATAGGAATTGCTGCTGAGCGTGCCAAAACACCCGGCCGGCAAACTTTGCACCCCTCCCTGCTACCCAACTACACCATCTCCTAGTTAGTTCCAAAGATACCTGGAGGAGACTAACTTCCATTTAGGGATGGAAAAATCAAAAGAGAAAATGCCATTTCAACAATAAATTGAATAAGGAATTTCCATTCATCACATCAAAGAAGGATAATATTGTTTTCTGTAATATTTGCAGCGGAGAATTTTGTATTGCAGTTGGGGGCAGAGCAGCTATAATAAAACACTTGACCACCAAGAAACATAAGCAATCATCAGATGCATCTGCTTCCAGTTGTAAAGTAACAAGTTTTTTTAAAACTTCAAAGTATTCTGAAGATGAAAAACAGTTAGCTGCAATGGAGGGAACATTTGCATTCCATATCATACCATAATTCACAATCAAAGTTTTCGTAGTATGGATTGTATAACTAAATTATTGAAAAAGTTTCACGATGCTAAATTTTCGTGCGCCAGGACAAAATGTGAGGCTATTATTAAATCAGTATTTAAAAATTACTGTGACAAAATACTTACAGAAGACTTGGAAACTGCAGCATTTGTAATGGTTTTATCTGATGCATCCAATCATAATGAAACTAAATTGTATCCAATACTAGTAAGATATTTTAATGTTACCAAGGGCATTCAAGTAAAAATTTTAAATTTAGAATCCATTGAGGGCGAAACTGCTGAAATTTTGTCAAACCATCTATACAGAGTAATAAATGAAAACAATTTGAAATCCAAAGTTGTTGCACTAACAGCTGATAATACAAACACAAATTTTGGTGGCCAAAGACGCAAAGGGGTGAATAATGTGTATGTAAAATTACAAGATTTACTCCAAAAGAAAATACTAGGAATAGGTTGTAATGCACATATTTTGTCAAATGCAATCAACAGGGCGTCATGTGCCATTGCCAATTGATGTAGAAGTAATGATAACTACAATTTATTTGTATTTTAGTCGTTTTACTGTTCGTGTGGCTACTTTAAACCAATTTTGTGAAGAAGCGAATGTTCAATACAAAAAACTTTTAGGATATTCAAAAGTTAGATGGCTTGCTCTAACACCTTCTATAGAGTGTGTTCTACAATTATTTGAGCCTCTCCGTTCATATTTTTTAAGTTTAGACAAATGTCCTAAAATCCCGGAATCCTTTTTCAATAGTGAAATATCTGAGATATTAATGTATTTTGTACATAATCAAGTATCTATTTTTCACAAAACGATTCAAAAGATTGAAGGTGAACACATCTGAGCGACAGAAGTTAGTCTTATTTTGAATGACTTTATCCTTCAATATAAAACTCGATTTGAAGAAAAATTTCTTCCTTTAGTTATAAAAAGAAAATTGTCAGACTTAGAGGAATCAAATCCGGGCATAATGGAAAAGTTTATCAAAGAAGTGCAGAATTTTTACCTAACATGTTTTCAATATATCGAAGAATGGTCTGAAACAAACATCACAGGAAATAACAGTTTTCAATGGTCTTTTTTGACTTCATCGCAAGTATATTGGACAGATATTGGATCTTGTGTTGAATTTTTATCTAAAGAAATGCCAGACATTAAAATAGATGACAATTGTCTCTTTGAAGAAATTAGAAGACTGAATGTATTTTTAAATTCTGAAAAATTAATACAATGGGAAAATAAACACGTTGAAATTGATAAAAGATGGGTGGAAATATTCAGCCATTTCAAAAATGAACATATTCCATGTGAAAATTTATTTATTCTTGTTCAATTTACGTTGTGCTGTCCTGGAACTAATGCAGCAGTTGAAAGGGTTTTTTCAATTGCTAACGATTTTTGGAAAAGTGAGAAATCGAGATTGAATGTTGATACTCTAGCTCAGTGATTCTCAACCTTTTTAATGCCGTGACCCCATAATACAGTTCCCCATGTTGTGGTGACCCCCAAGTGGGTGTGGCCACCAATAAGAGGGAGTAGGACAGCTAGGGAAAAAAATGGCGGACAGCATGGTTTGGCGACCCCCGTGAAATGGTCATTCGACCCCAAATGGGGTCCCGACCCACAGGTTGAGAACCACTGCTCTAGCTGCAGCACTTGCCGTAAAATTCAATATGAAGGATATTTCTTGTTCAGATATTTCCAATATATTATTAGAAGATGATACATTGACAAAAAATATTCATTCAATTGAAAAGTACTCATTTAAATAATAATTAATAGGCATGTAAGCATAATTATAATATAAAATTTTATTGTTACAATGTTTTTTATTATGCATTTATCATATTATAGTGTATTCTGTATTATTGTTGCAATGAATAAAATGTTTCTTTTATTTACGATATTTTTTTCTTCAGTTTATTTGTGTCCTCCTTTTCATTGTAAAATAGTTGGTCACCTTACATTTGTATGTTGTATGTTTTACACTCTGGCTCAAATGTAGTCCCCTTGTTAAGACTGAAAGTAAAATTTGACTAATTTTTTAACTACAGTTTAAAGCTTAAATATCCCCCATAAATATATCCCTTTTGATATTAGGTGATTATTTCATGATAGATAGAATAGATATTTACTAAAGAAGCTGTACTTCTTTGGATTATCTGAGGGAGGTCTTTTATTTAGTTTAGAGTTGTCTTTGAGCTTTTGGCTGAATTGGAGAAAACATTACATTTGACTTGCCTATTAAGAGATGGGTTATGGGATGAAGAGCTATTTATCACCTCTTCCTAGTTAACTTATTTGTTAATAAGTGAAGAGATTATGAAATTGTTTATACTTGTCATGGTGAGGATGGGAAGTTGCTTTCTTAGGGGGGGAGATTTATTTATTTATTTTTGCTCTGTTGCACCTTTTTTCCTTTCTTTTTAGTTTGCATTATCTTTTATTGTTCTATCTAAAGCTGCTAATAAATGTATTACAAAAACATTCTCCTGAAAATATTCAAATATGTACATGCAGATACACACACACACACACACACAAACACACACACACACACACAAACACACACCCTATGGTGAAATTTCTCTATCAGTCCATGATACTTCTCATTTGTATGCTATGGAATAATTCCAAAAATGGTAGAAGAGGCTGTATCACTCCCTTCAATTCTTATTTTTCCAAATACTTTCCATCTTCCACTTCCATCAGTCCTAGTCTGATTTTTTTATTTCTGACTGACATTAAGCAGGGTTCATTTGAGTTTTTAATTAGATTGTATCATCTTTTAAAGTTTCTTTTGCTGTGGAGTGGAACTAATGGGCCACTTGTCAAAATATGAAACTCTGAATCATTCTAGAGGCTTTTGTCATAAAATATATTATTAACGTTTTTGCTTATTTCTTGTGAGCTGCCTGGAATATTTTGTGATTGCAGTAGGATATATATTTGATTAATATATAATAAATAAAATAGATGGAATTGCAGAAAAATATTTAGTGTGTTTTTTTTTAAATTAAGTGCTAATATTTCATGTTGCTGCACCTTCGTGACTGTAGCATTTATGTATATCTTAAGTTTGATTTCTGTTTAGCTGTGATGCCTTGCTTTGCAGATTAATAGTTTTTAAAATAATTATTTTAGGGATCCTTTGACTGAGATTTCTGCAAAATTGCACAATGCACAGCCTGAAAATGACTCTACAGTTCCTTTGTTGAAAATTTATTCATCTTCAGATTGTCAATATGAAGTAAGTAAAAGCTATACAAATGCTCAATTCCTTCTGTTTTTCTTCAGAATAAGATATCCTATATTGTTTTATTTGTTTATTTATTTTATAAATTTGCATAACATCTTAGTCACAAAAGTACAGTACTTCTATGATTTGTATCCATAGTTAATGAAGGTCTTTTGAAAAACTGAGGCTAAATGATCTTTGCTTTCATCTTCAGTTTATTTGTAACTTAAGGGCTCATTTTAAATATACAGGGTTCAGTGACCATTCAAAATTGCTATGGGGTTGAATGAGTGGTCCTTGAGATTATGCCCATTGCAGCAATCAAACACTTATGACATCCTGCAGTCATGTGATTGCAGGATGTTTGTGACCTCCCCTGCATGCTTCTCACAAGCAAAGTCAATGAGGAAACTGGCAGGGAAGGTTGCAGGTTGCACTGGTAAGTTCCCCCAATCTTTCTGCATTCATACCACATTATCCTCTTCCAGTTTTCCTGTATTCACACCAACCCATCAGCCCTTGTCCTTGTACCTTGCCACAGCACCAGCCTTCTCCAATTTGTGCGTGAACTGTGCCAGTTTCCTCCACGTACTTGTATATCCACATGCTCCTTTCCTGATACCCCTACCACTTCCTGTTTAACAGTCTGCAGGTCTTGGTGTTACGATGGCCACTGGGTTGTTGGGATTGTCATTGCTAAGCGAAACAACCACATGACATCTCACTTTACAAACACATTGCTTAGTGATGGCAATCCTGGTCCCAATGTCTTTGTGACTGGAGGACTATTTATGTTGTATTTCTTAAAAGATATCTATACTTCTCTCTGTGTGATGAAATGATAAAAGCAAGATTGAGGTACATCTATGATTGTATAATCGGCATAGCTGAAGCCATAAAACCAAGATAATGAATTGTGCTAGTTGATCTTGTGGACTAGGAAAAGCACCAATACTGATGATGATTGGAGGTGGCTAGTTTCAACCCATTGGTGAAATAGGTGAAAAAGTTTCATCCTAATGGTGAAAAGCATCAGTATTCATATGAGGTAACAACCCTCTCTGGGAGATATTTGAACTGAGACATTCGATCTTTGGAAGATCTGACATCGAAAGTAAAAAATACCACAAGAGTATCAGATTAGTATTAACAGCAGGACTTCAGTCTGCACTTGGCAAGCGACTGGAAGCTTAAGGCAGTTGTATAGGAGAGAGAAGCTATGAAATTTGGCCTTCAAAAGTAACGTTTATTTCCGTAAAACATTTTAGTAACCTAATATGGAGATCACTTAAAATGTGAATCACTGTGGACAAGGAGCCTTCATTTAGGAGAGACTGGGGTTCTAAAGTAGAAGGCATTTTGTGTACCTTGGTCACTTACTGTATTTATCTTTCCAGTAAAAGTTTTTAATTTTTTTTATCTCAAGTATTTGTTTTTAAATAAAATTTTTTTGATATATGTGTTAAACTAGGTAACTGTCAAGACCTCTTTTCTGCAGGTCCTTGGTCAGGTAAGACTTTATTTAATAATTTATACACAATTATGTTTAAGTAGATTCAGAGCAGATTTACAACTTAATACAATTTGATACATTTTAATTGATGAGTTACTGCAGGGCTGTCAAACTGGCAGCCTATGGGCCGGATGCGTTATGGCGAAACCGTGCTCACCAATTGCCGGCAATGGAAAAAAAGTCACGATACATTGCGACACGTCACGTGATGTTGCGAGTTTAACACCCCTGAGTTACTGTTAGAGCAGTGTGTTATTTAAGGTTTAATCATGGCCTTAAAAGGTTAATCGTGGCTTTAAAAATCCCTAAATAAAATTCATTTAGTGGACTTCTCTATGGAAGGTTTGTGCTTAATAGATTTGCAGTGCAATAGAAACTCTTAACTCTCCTACTATCATGCTGCTCCCTATATTCTATTTTATTTGAATATATCTCTTCTTAATTATTTCGGTCCTATTATTGTTTTCTATTAGATATTTTATTGTATCTGGCCTTAGGGCTATAATAAACTGATTGACTGAGGAAATAGTGTGAATAACTGATGGCTTCACCTGCTTTTGAGTAGTATCAGTATCTTTTTCCAACAAAATTGAATAGCAGAATGGGACATAATTCTGCCTTGTTATATTACAAATATACAATCATGAATTCGTAGAATCCATCATTTTCTATTAAAATAATTAATGTATGCCTGCCTGCTTTAAGGTAGAATTTAAAGCAGTCACATAATTACTCTAAAATGGGAAGGAAGTACATTAGGAAGATAATTTAAAATGGCAATTTTTTCTGAGTGCGTATAGTACTTACAATAATAATAATAATAATAATATTAGTGGATAATGGATAATTAGTGGATAGTGGACGTGGCAGTGCCTGGAGATAGCAGAATAGAAGAGAAAGAACTGGAGAAGATAACAAAATACAAAGACCTACAAATAGAAATAGAAAGACTGTGGCAAAAGCAAGCAAGGGTAGTACCAATAGTCATAGGCTCCTTGGGCGCAATCCCAAAACAACTGGAGCACCACTTGAACACAATTGGCATTGACAAATTCGCTATTAATCAATTGCAAAAGGTGGCCTTATTTAGAACTGCTTCCATCCTGCGATGATATCTGTAATACCATCAAACATCCATATCTGCCTATCCCAGGTCCTGGGTAAGGATTCGATAGGTAGACAAAATGCCAAATCCAGTCTGAACATCTGGCTGACTGTGCGATGATCGATAATAATAATAATAATAATAAAGTTGGAAGGGACCTTGGAGGTCATCTAGTCCAACCCCCTGCTCAGGCAGAAAACCCTATACCATTTCAGACAAATGGCTGTCCAGTCTCTTCTTAAAAACTTCCAGTGTTGGAGCATTCACTACTTCTTTGTCACTGGATACGTGAACATCTGTTACTACAGATCAAGTCCAACAAGACGAGGATATCTAAAACGAATGCACCAATTCTGGAAAGAACAACATCCAGAATCAGAAATAACAGAACAGAGACTAGCAGAACAACGCCGATTTATAACACGAAATAAAGTATTTACAGAAACAGAATTGGATGAACTGCAAAGGTTTACCCAGGGCAAAGAAATCAAAGCCTTACAAGAAGTAATTCAGAATGTAGAGGCAAACCAGGGGGAGTTGGCAGTGAAAGAATCCAGTAGAGATATACAACTGTTCTCATTTGGAAACCAGGCACCTCTTCCTCAGGAAGAACAAAACCCTCTAACTAAAGAAATAAAAGAATTGAAACAAAGAATAATTGAGCATCTAGAACAGCACAAAAACAACAGAATAAGGCTGCCTGCATTGAAGCTTGTTCCAAAGAAACAGCTAGCACAAGCATTAAAAGATGCAAATACTGCAATAGCAAGTATAAGCACCAATTCACTGCAAGAAACAAACCAACTAATGTACAGCACAGCTGCAGTTATAACAGAATACCTGGGATGCAAAATCAACAAAAAAGAAAAACAAACAAACAGTGCACCAGAAAAATGGAAGGTTAGACTAGAAAATAAGATCAGCAAGTTAAGATCACATGCAAGCAAGCTAGAACAGATGAAAGAAAAGAAGCTGAAGAACAAGAAGACCAAAGAATACCTAATCAAGAAATACCACTTAGAAACAAGGAAGATCAAGGAAGCACTGGAAATAATAAAGCAACAAATAACAGCTATAGCCAGGAAAATCAGTAGATATGAAGCTCGAATTGCAAACTATAGGCAGAACCTCCAATTTCAATCCAATCAGAAACTTTTCTACCAATCCATCAATGGAGAAACTGCAAGGAATCAGTCAGTACCTGACAAGGAAGAAACAGTGCAATTCTGGAAGCAGATATGGGATAACCCAAAGAAATACAACAAGGATGCAGCTTGGTTAAAAGAGGTGGATGCAAATAAAACAGAAGTTGAAATGAAAGAACTAGTAATAACAACAAAAATGGTAGAAAAAAGAGCAAAGAAAATCAAAAATTGGTCAGCACCAGGTGAAGATGAACTGCATGGGTTTTGGTTGAAACATCTAACTGTTATACACCCACTCATTGCCAAGCAGTTCAACAATATACTACAAGGAGGAGAAATTGAAAAGTGGCTAACAACTGGGAAAACCTACCTAATAATGAAAAATCCAGCAAAAGGGGCAACACCAGGTAACTACAGGCCAATTACCTGCTTACCAACAACTTTCAAATTACTAACTGGTGTGGTAGCTGATGCAGTACAACAGCATCTAGTTGAAAACAATCTCTTTCCACCTGAGCAGAAAGGAAACCGCCCCAATAGCAGAGGAACAAAAGATCAACTCCTAATAGACAAAATGATCTTGGAAAACTGCAAGAGAAGGAAGACCAACCTGAATGTGACATGGATTGACTACAAAAAGGCATTTGACTCTCTGCCACATGATTGGATAATCAAGTGCCTAGAAATAACAGGAGTCAGTAGAAACATCAGAAAATTTGTGCAAAGATCGATGGCACAATGGAAGACACAGTTGCAGATCAATGGTGAGAAGCTGGGAGAGGTTAATATCAAGAGAGGAATATTTCAAGGAGATTCATTATCACCATTACTATTTGTTATTGCACTGTTTCCTCTGTCAACAATACTGAATAACTCAGGACATGGTTATCAAACATCAAAAACATCTGCTAGACTATCCCACCTCCTTTACATGGATGATCTGAAGCTATATGGAAAAACATCATCTGAAATAGAATCGCTGCTCAACACTGTCCGTATATATAGCCAAGATATTGTAATGGAGTTTGGCTTGGACAAATGTGCCACACTTACTATCAAACAAGGAAAAATAATGAAAACTGAAGGAATCAAGATGCCCCACGAAAATAACATTAAGAGTCTGGATGAGGAAGAGTACTACAAATACTTGGGTATCCTTCAAGCTGACAACATCAAGCACACTGAAGTCAAGAAAAAAGATTAGAGGTGAATACATCAAGAGAGTGAAGAAGATCTTAAAGTCCAAACTCAATGGAGGAAATACCATAAAGGCAATCAACACCTGGGCAATCCCAGTCATTAGGTACACAGCTGGAATAGTGGACTGGACTCAAGCAGAACTAAAAGCAATGGATAGGCAGACCAGAAAAATAATGACAATGAATCATGCCCTTCATCCACGCAGTGACATTGATAGACTTTATCTACCAAGGCAAATAGGTGGGCGTGGAATGCTACAAGTACATCAGATGGTTGAAGAAGAAAAAATGGCTTTGGAAGAATATCTGAAGAACAATGATGAAGATGCACTGAAATTAGTATATCAGGAAGGCTTACTAACTACTGGAGAGACCAAACTGGCCTACAAGAAAGACCAAATGAAGAACAGAATAGAGGCATGGGAAGACAAAGCACTACATGGCCAATACATTAAAAAAATAGCTGGGAAAGCAGATAATAATAAAACCTGGCAATGGCTAAGAGCAGGAAAATTGAAGAAAGAGACCGAGGGACTAATTCTGGCTGCACAAGACCAAGCCTTAAGGACAAATGCATACAAAGTCAAAATTGAGAAGACAGCAACAGACAGTAAGTGCCGCCTATGCAAAGAAGCTGAAGAAACAGTGGACCACTTGGTAAGCTGTTGCAAGAAGATTGCACAGACTGATTACAAGCAGCGGCATGACAAAGTAGCAACAATGGTGCATTGGAAGATCTGCAAAAAATATCATTTGCCTGTAAGCAAAAACTGGTGGGATCATAAAATAGAGAAAGTCATAGAAAATGATAAAATTAAACTGCTCTGGGACTTCAGAATTCAAACAGACAAGCACCTGCAACATAACACCCCAGACTTAACAATTGTCGATAAGAAAGACAAAAAAGTCTGGATAGTGGACGTGGCAGTGCCTGGAGATAGCAGAATAGAGAGAAAGAACTGGAGAAGATAACAAAATACAAAGACCTACAAATAGAAATAGAAAGACTGTGGCAAAAGCAAGCAAGGGTAGTACCAATAGTCATAAGCGCCTTGGGTGCAATCCCAAAACAACTGTAGCACCATTTGAACACCATTGGCATTGACAAATTCGCTATTAATCAATTGCAAAAGGCGGCCTTACTAGGAACTGCTTCCATCCTGCGACGATATCTGTAATACCATCAAACATCCACATCTGCCTATCCCAGGTCCTGGGTAAGGACTCGATAAGTAGACAAAATGCCAAATCCAGTCTGAACATCTGGCTGACTGTGCGATGATCCATAATAATAAAGTTGGAAGGGACCTCGGAGGTCATCTAGTCCAACCCCCTGCTCAGGCAGAAAACCCTATACCATTTCAGACAAATGGCTGTCCAGTCTCTTCTTAAAAACTTCCAGTGTTGGAGCATTCACTACTTCTTTGTCACTGGATACGTGAACATCTGTTGCACCTTATTTCATAACAAAATTTTTGCACATTCAACAATTTAAGCCTTGGAGCTATGCATAATGCATGTACTGTATATAATTAAACACTTGTACTAAATTGAGTATGATTGAATTCTGAACTAGCATGTCTAGGATTATTAGGTACACTATAATATGAGATTTATGATTCCTATAGTTTAATTACAGATCTGTTATTTGTTGACAGGAAATACATATTTTTGCTGAACTAGGAACTTAGACATTGAATAATGCAATGTTGTTTCGTTTAAATAAAAAGAGTAAAGTGAAAAACCCAATCACATTTCAGAATGTTCAGCAAGCTTGTAAAATAGTATTGTCATTGCTAGAGTGCAAATTTACTGTAAATTATTTAAAGTCAGTTTTGTATATAACACTCCATTATTCCACATAATAACGTTCTAAACAGATTGAAAAAAACTCCAATCAGGTGGTTTGGAGCGGGATAGGACAGCAATAAGATGGCAGCTGATGTTGTCTGTTGGTGTATTAAAATTCTCAGATTAGTTTTGTTTAAATCCCTCTTGCCTTAATTTAAACATTATCCACATTCTAGGTCACATTCTAGGTTCTTTAGGTCCATGCTTTTTTTAAAAAGAAATGAAGGTTAGATTCTGATCACTCAGCAGGATACGTGGCTCTAATGAATCCCAAAGTAATCTGAAAATTTCCAGGTTTTTTTGTAAATTGCTAGCCAGACTTTGAGACTAATATTTAAGCTGATCTCATACATATTGTGATGGAATACCCACCTGAAGAAGCAGTGGAAGGGGGTCTTGGCAGCACAGAACTTTCCCAGGAAGAAGGTGGTATACATCAGAGAGAAGCTAAAATTAAGAAACTGCAGTCCTTAGCTGGGTGGTGGAGGGGGCAGAAAGGTTCCCGGTAGCCACACCATAGAATCTCTCAGGATGTATCTAGTAGGCTAGAGGCTTATAGCTTTAGCTTGGCAAGCTTCTGTCTATTAGTTGTAAGCAAATAAAGGATTGAACTCAATTGGATTTCACTGTGCCATCTTTGGGCTTGGACCTGACTCCTAGACATGTGATTACCACAACTCACACTGTCTTGTTATTCTTTAATATTTACATTGGAACATACGATCTTCCTACAAATCATTGAGAAAATAGATTCACTTCCTAATCTTTTTTCCCCTTAATAGACTTTTGAGAGTGAATTGGTTAGGATTAGAAATCTTAAATGCAAGTCTTTCTGTTTCCATGAATATTCAGGATGGTCTCAAGCAAGACATTTTGTTATATCTATACAGAATTGTAAGAATTATTGAGGTAGTTAGTATAGGTAAAAAAGGGAAAGGTGGAATGATTTTTCCATGTTCTTGTTTTCCCAAAAAACATCTTTGTTTTGTAGGTGATAAGATTCCACGGTGGCACTCTTCCTATGTACATTATTTCTAATATTCTTCTTGCCTACAGAAGACAATTAAGGTCCCTAGTGTCAACAGGTAACATTACATGAAAAGATTTTTAAGCAAGGTTTGTTTATCGCTATAAAACTAGTTCACATTGCATTTCATTTTATGTTCATGTTCTGTGTCATCGCTTTTAAAACAAGACTGAGATTTGTTGAAAAGTATTTATAATCAAACAAATCCCTTGTAGAATGCAAAGAGATAAAATGTTTACATTATTAATAATTAGTAAATTATGAATATTTCATAGCTTTTTGACTTTTAACAGGATCATATTTTAAAAGGTTTAAGGTTTTTACAACACAGGTAATCCTTAAGTTACAATGACAATTGGGACCAGAATTTCTGTCACTAAGCAATGCAGTTGTAAGGTTCAGTTCTACTTGCTGTCTCTTAGCGATAGCAATCCCAGCTCTCCTTTTGCTGCTGCTGAATCTCAGCAACTATTAGCCAAGGACCCATCCTGATCCAACCCATTCCCATCTGAAGCCCTCCCGGCCCTGATCCCCATTTCTTTCAAAGTAAGAGACTACCTCTCCTTCAACCCTCCCCCTGAACTGTCTTTAGGTCATCGGGGGGGGGGCAGAACACAGGGCAGCAGGGGGCTGGGTGTGCAGGGGGCCAACATGGCAGAGATGGGAGAGAGATAGGCAAGTAAGAGGAGTTAAAGCATCCCCTGTGGTTGATTATGTGGCCATAACTTCAGGGACCGCTGAGTACAATTTGTTCAGTGCCACCGTAATTTCAAATGGTCACTGAATGAATTATCATAACTTGAATATACCAGTATAGGAATAAAGCTTTTAAAAAGCAAATATTATAGTGGGCTTTTTAATAAGACTTGTAAACTGGACATGGAAATGTATGCACGGGAGTATACATTATTTTAAATTAAATATAGATATTTAAATTAAATATATGGGTTTTAATTTTTTTTCTGTTTCTGCTCAAGTAAGAAGACAGTCTGAGAAGTAATTGATTTCAGTAGTATAACTTTTAAGCATTTTTAAATGTATTCTAAAAAGATAAATATTAACTTTATCATTTAATTTGTGAACATGTGGTTTCAGATATTTTTTCTTTTATTCTAGGCCAGTGTTCAGACTTTGCTCCTGCCCTTACTAAAGCAGCTAAGCCTTATAAAGTAGAGCCCATAGCATACATGATTAAATTCTTGTTGGGGTATGTTTCTTTTTAATATATTTAATGTATTTTTATGTTACATTAAAATACATTTTAATTTTAATATTTATTTAATTTTATTTATTTTTAATATAATATATTTAATATATTTTCTACACACACACATATAAACATTAATTTTTTTAGCTAAAATTAATTAGTAGTTTTTGGAAATGCAGATAATCAAACCAAATAACTATCGTGCTGTCTCTTGTTTTTAGACTTAGCTGGCTTAAAGGATTCAGGAATTCAGAGTTGGATCGTGTGACAGTGAACAACCAGGAGTTGTGGTTTCCTTTGGTATCCCTGATTCTCTTTATGTTTGGGACTGGCATAGCCTATTGGGGTGGCATACTTCTTGATTCATCAATAAGGCTCTTATCTTCATTGCACTTAGTTTTGACAAGGTAAAATCAATAAATAAATGCAAAATGTTTAGTGGTATTGCTGGAAACAAAATTTGGCAAAATGTTGAAGAGAAGTATACTCTCTCTGCCATATACAAAATGCAAGAATATTTTCTGATTGACATTTTTTAAATCATCTTAAAACTGAAGCACCTGTAAATATCACAAGCACAGTGCAAAGGTTTGTGATGTAGTCCCTAAGCCCTATAGTTACTAGTATTACGCACAAACCATTGTATCACTTAAAAAGCAACAGGAATCAATTATTTACTACAATTCTGTGCTCTACAGCAACACTTGCACAAAAAGTAAAATGAGTCCAGCAATTTGACAAATTGAAAATGGGTCATATTTGCTCTGAATGGCTTGATCTTTTCTCGGAATGGAAAGTTAGCAATACTTGAAGTCACATTAAAAAAAAATAATACACAAGAAAGTATTGCTCTAAGTAAACTATTTGGATGTGTCTAAGAGATCACCAAGAACAGAACTTGAAAGTGTTTTTACCTTCTAATAAAACAATGACAAAGTTAGGAAGAAAAATCTCTCTAACTGGTTTTCTTTTCTAAATGATTTAGGAGTCTAAAATTCATAATACATAGTAATTTTTTGCTAGGCCAATGAAAAGATCACAAAATTATGTGCAAACTTTTAAATTCCCTAGAGTTGTCAATTGGATTAGAGAAAAAAAGGAGAAACAGTAAGTAGTTAATTCCGAATCTCAATATTTCCCCACTTTTGACACACAAATTTTTCCTTGTTCAAATGCTTCAACTCGAAGAAAATGCTTGACTTCATTTCCTACTTGGTACTAGACTGAGAAGCAAGCAACAGAGAAAAATCCTTCCAAATAACCTAGCTGGGTTCTACTATTTAGAATTCCAAGACACTGTGGACTTTATTGGGAATTTTATGAAATTGAAAAGTTGTGACTTTTAAAACCTTGTTGTTATTGTTATCAAGAAAGTTATTGAGGAAGAAAGTTATTGATCTTCCTGAAAAGAAACAGTCTTTTGAGCAAGGCAGGATATATTATACACAGAATGTATTCATAAATGGACATGTTAAATTTTAAACTTGTTTGGAAGAACTATAACAAGTATGTATTATGAGTAAAATATTCTACCAATTAATTGATAAACTCCTCCCACCCTTCTACCATAGACCTAGGAAGTTTTAGATTTCTCTCCTATCAGTGTAAGTTATCAAGGCTGCTGCCAAATTGTTAGGTGTATTGAAGTTTGAAGTACTTCAGCCTGATATCAGCCTGCCTACTCTTTCCATAAACCCATAATTAAAGGGTACTTTTGAACAGTAATTTTACACTAAGTAGAACAACTAGCCATTCATTTGTATCCTTTTTGTGTATGTGTATTCTTATTTCCCTCCGTTGTCTTGTTACAAATCATGGTTTAATATTACGTATGAAGAAGAAAAAGTATAAGATGGAATGGGATGAGATAGATAAGATAAAATAAGATAAGCTAACCTTTATTGTCTCTTTCTCTGTGGCACACATTAAAAAATGAAATTCTGATGCCTGGTCTGAAAAAAAAATAAGCTAAAATGTTAAAAATCCACCCATATAATGGTAAACAGTGCGACAAAATAATGAAAGAGCTAATTGCAAGAAAAAAGTACATTATGCATTATGTGACCCTATACATTTATGTACCATAGTAAACTACGATTAAGAAACTTAGCTGGCATATCTGATTTGGGAAAGCCAAGATTGTGATTAAATAGCAAATCATTTAGAATGTTGACTCTTACTGAGTCTACTGAATCTTACTTTAATATTGAGTAATAAAAAAATGGAAAACAGCCAAGCGACTTTCAACCCACATTTGAACATTAGAGCTCTAAAAAGCCAGTCCATAGTGTGAGTCACAACAATACTTAACACAAACCACAGTTTGGTGTGAAGTTTGAATTCTATTTTGCTTTGTAATATAATGAATATTTTATTTCATAAATGTGTTTATTTTCTAGACCCTCTGGACTTCCATCTCACAACAGTCTCATTACACGATTAAGGTTTTGTGTTGCAATTTCAATGGTTTTTCTTAGCTGGACTACCTGTGGAGCGCTGGCAATAATGATGACTTATTTTCATTATATATTCAAGGTATGTAAACAATAAAAGTTATGTGATATAATACAAACATAGTATTAACATTTTTAGGCTACAGATTGGTTAGATAATTTCTCACTAGTTTAGATCTAGTTTGCTAGTTTGGCGTTTAGATCATCCATGTCACCCATATGTGAGTCTATGTACAACCTATGTATAAAAATTTACTGCTTTGATCAGATAACATTGCTGGTAATCAGCACAGAAGTGCCTCTAGGGAAAAGTCAGAAGAACGGAGAGCTGTTGAATAATTCTTAACCCGGTTATACAATTCATCCCTTTGCCCCTGAAATAGGTTTATGCTCCTTGCTCATTAATCCAAGGAAAAACGCAGACTAAAATATTTTAAGAAATGGATTTTAAATAATGTAGCAGTAAAATCTCAAAGAAGTTCCAGGTATATAGGGTATTATATATGAATTCAATAATGTGGTAAGATTGTATAGTGCTCAAGCAATATAAGAAAACCACAAAGATGCCAGATAAAGCCAGTGCTTTAAAAATATATAAAAAGTAAACTGTAGAACAGTGGTTCTCAACCTTTTTAATGCCGCGACCCCCAACCGGTCGTAAGTCGAGGACTACTCAACCAGTCGTAAGTCGAGGACTACTCAACTGGTGCAGCACCGTTTGCAGAATGGGACTTTTGGCGGGCTCAGCAGGGCAGAGACAGCCTGGACAATTCCTATTGGCTTTTGAAAGCCAATAGAATTAGACTCTATTCAAGAGAGTCTATTCTATTGGCTTTCAAAAGCCAATAGAATAAAAGGGAGTAGTACAGCTAAGGAAAAGGGGAAAAAAATGACGGACTGCGTTTTTTGGCGACCCCCGTGAAATGGTCGTTCGACCCCAAATGGGGTCCCGACCCACAGGTTGAGAACCACTGCTGTAGAACAATGAAGTATAGAATAGTAAAGCACAACCATTAAATTAGGAAGCTGTGATCATAGGCATATAATGTTGTAGCTAAAATATATGCTTGTTGTTACAGGTTGTTAATTTCCATTCAAATTTAAGATCTGAACTAAGCGTTGGTAATGTGGTAAGTCTGTTTATTGTATGCTTTTTGTTGTTGGCTTAAGAACATGTGTGCTTAACATATACAGAGTTCCTGTTCTTGCAGAATATCACTACTCAACATTATTTCATGGGGATTTACTATTTTTCCCCTATGGCGAAAGGGTGAAAAAAATCTCTATTATATCAGGTTTAGTTTGCCACTGTAATCTTGTGTCTTCGATCTCCTAGCTTCTTTTTAAGAAGAAATAGATTACTTCTTTTATTTTAGTGTTTCCAGTGCTTGAATAATTCTTCATAATAATGTAGTGATAGCATCAAGATAGCACCATGAGAGGAAGCCCAAAACATTTGAGACCACTGAACATCATGGGAGGAAATGAGGCAGAAAATAGGTTTGTATGAGGATTATTGCATTGGTTATGTCACTGTTGGCTCTCCAGCTCTTTGCACGCTACTTTTTTCAGAGTTTTATGTTCCATTCTTCTGAGAGTATTTTACAGAAGAAACAATAATTATAATTCTCAGTCTTAGGTTTACTGTCTAAAATAGAGGTCTCCAAACTTGGCGACTTGTGGGCTTCAACTCCCAGAATTCCCCAGCCAGCATTCCCCTGGTCTAAAAGACACAATACCTAAAGGAAATGATTGGAGAAAAAGAAATGACGAAAGACCCCACCCTCGCCCTGTTGATGATGGTTCACTCAGTGGTTCAGATAGATGAAAATAGAGTCTATTCTTAAAAACTTCCAGTGTTGGAGCATTCACCGCTTCTGGAGGTGAATGCTCCAACACTGGAAGTTTTTAAGAAGAGACTGGACAGCCATTGTCCAAAATGGTGTAGGGTTCCTGCCTGAGCAGGGGGTTGGACTCAATGACCTCCAAAGTCCTTTCCAACTTTATTATTATTACTAACTTGCCCTGATATTTCTGTTCAGAGCAAGGTGGTCCCTCAAAAGACACACAAAGGGCCATATATATTCAGGAGATACTAAAAATGTGTGTGTGTGTGTGTGTGTGTACAGAAAGGTTGTTTTTTTTTTCAGACAGACCAGTCTGATCCGCTGACAAAGGGGAGGAGAGCTGGTGGCCTAGTGGTTAATACAACTGCCTAGCATGTAGGCTGCCCAGGTTCAAATCCCATAGAGGGCATGGCTAGCTGATGAGAGCAAAATAAGCTCGAAATTGCTATTCTAGTCTCCCATTTAACTCTTTAACTCTTTGTCAACAAAAAAGAAATTTGGATTTGTAATGTATCGCAGTAGCGACTTGAGCCTGCTTAATGCCCCTAGTTTGGGGGGCTGCAAGGCAAAAGTGATTATAAGTAGAACTGCAGTATAGCAGTCAAAATACCAAGGTGCATTAATCAAGAAAAAACTTTCTCTGTGTGTATATATATATAAATTTATTTTTAGTATCTCCTGAATATTTTGCCCCAGAATGTATGCTAAGTTGCAAGAACTAGTCAAGATGGGGACAGTAATTAAAAATAGTATTAATCCTCCATCAGTAAGGAGTCTGATTTAAAATAAAACAATAATATATGATCCCATGAATTTAAATGACTGAATTACATTTGTATGTTATTGGTCATGCTATTATTAAATTATTTTGTGGATATTTCAATTTACTCTTTATATTTTTTAGTAACTAATGCTGAAAAACCTGTGAAATATATTTATATTTTTATAGCCCATAAAGAACCTAGAAACTAAATCAGAAGATTCAAAAATCGAAGGGGAGAACAGCTGCAGATCAGAGGATTGCCTTTCAGAAGCAAGAAACTCACCCAGCACCACCACGGCCAATGACAGCCTTATAGATAGCCTTAAAATGCATGTCACGGTCATCAACTTAACCACATGGATTGTGCTTCTTAGTTGCCCATCTTTAATTTATTGGCTAAAAAATATCAGGTAATCATCCCAAATTTGCAGGTTTTATTTAAAAAAAATTGTTATGAGATGGCCCTGTAAGTTAATATATGTGCTATTAGAAGAGTTCATGAAATATTTGGTTGTGTATATGAAATCAGTCCAAATGCCTAATAATGTGAGAGGTAGTCACAGTACATTAGCAGGTAGAGAACTAGAGAAATAAATATTTAAAAGTTAAAAGATAACTTAGAACCACAAATGTGTTAAATGTTTAGCATACTAGGAATCTATCTTGAAATGAAAAATCCATTATAAGTATTTCTTCGTTATCTTAAAATTGGCATTGTATTTTTTTCAGTTTCTGAAATGTGAGATAGTTCACAGTAACCCAATTTTTTGATTGTTAAAACAGCTTTAATTGAGAGGAAAAGTTGCATTTGGGCCATCTAATGACATGGTATTGATTTCCCTATTTCTCTGCTTGTTTTATTTTCAACCATCTTTTTAGCTCCTTTAGTGTATTTTGTTGTTGCTACTAGAAAACTGATGTTGCATGTGGGTGATACAACAGTCCTTTGTGTTTTCTTTCTTTTTAAATTAGATACCATATCAGACTTGATCCTGATCCATGTAGACTTGTTGCTGTTATTCTGATAATTATTTTGAGTATACTCATGAATACAAGTACTACAAAACTTAAATCAAGGTACTTTAATTATCTTTGTTTTAAATTGCACTACATTGAACACTCTTGTATCAAATTGTTTTCCCTTCTGATAGTACATTGTTAGGATTTGGACCAAAGCAAAAAAGAATATTTTAGCTTTCATAACTGCTTTAGATCCAACAAAAGCTCTCTGTAGTCAGAGGATGGGGATGGGATTTGTTTATTTTCATCTTATTCCAGACTTATTTTTTTCTGTTTCCTACACTAAAAATAAACTGAATTTTTCAGATCATTTCAGGTCATTTTGCAATTCTGCTAGCTGACAACTCTCATATAGCCATTATTACAGAAGTGAAAGAAACAGTATGAATTGCTCTCTTATAAACTGGTGAGGGAGGGAATGGAAATCTATATGGACTTTACACATTTTTTTTCCTTTTAATATCAGCCATGGGGTAGATGGTTCTCTGAGGTGATAAATTCCAGTTTCTTGGCTTAGCATATTCTAGGATGTTTTTTGCAAAGTAATTATATCTTGAACATTACTCCATAGTATTGCTTCAATAATATCTGTTGTTTATTTGCTATGTCAGCCTTTCCATCCACCAATAAATTATACCTGTATCTCCAATCAGCATAATCATATTGGCTTGGGAATTGTGGGAGTTGAAATCAAATACCATGTGAGATTAGAAAAGATCAAGACTAACAAAAGTACTCACACTTCTCATTGCTTGAATAATTTATTTTATTCTCTTTTTTTTTCTTCCTACAGTAAATTATTGAAGATTGCAGCATATTTTCCACTTCTTTTCTCTGTTGCTGCTGTAGTTTTTGCACCTGTTTATTTATATCAAATGCCATACTTTGTAATAATTCCTCTTTTTTTACATTCATTATGCAGCATTGTATAAAATCTTTAGCTGGCCAAAACAGTAATAGATGTGGAAATATAGATAATATAGGAAAACCTAAGCCCCATCTTCTATCCATAGTAGAAAATGGAAAGGCTTTAGGTTTCCAAAGTGATATTTCATGATAAGAAAACAATATTTTTATTTACTAATTTTTAAAAGAAATAGTTGCATAAATGTGTTACTCAGTAAGCACTTCGTTCTTGACACTGAGGGAAAACATGGTTGCATCAGTTCCTTGGTTTTGAAGCAAATGGCTTTTATTTATTTATTTTAAAATTGCAAGTTTACATGTACCGTATACTTCTGTGTTCTTACTTCAGTCAACAAGTGACTCTAAACAGACAGAACAGGACAATTGAATTGCTGATAAAAATGATTATACGTTCTTACCCCATTATTGGCAACTGATATAATTTTGTTTTTCCTTTGGGTCTATACAATTTATAATACTAATGTATCAAGATTGTTGGTGATAAATCCAAAGACATATCTGAGGTTGCAAATTTATGAGATAATTGAAAGCAGTACATAAAAGTGTACTCGATGTAATGTAATTTAGTAAGTATACAAGAAGATTGTATGCTGCCTGTTCTATTAAAATCTGTAGTTAGGGCAGGTGAATATTTCTATGCAGAGGAAAATCTGTCATTATGGATAAATATATAGGAAATAATTTTGAATCACCATTCCCATATTTATTTTGGCAATATTACTGTTGGAATAAATAAGATATCAGTATGTATTGTGAAATCCACCCACAGTAGAAATGGAATGTTAATGGGGTATTTTCTTCATAGAAGCCATTTTATTCAAGGGCTGTGAAACCCTGCATTGTGTAAATGATCATTTGATCATTTCTCTAATATGTTCCTTTCTACATACGTCACTGGGCAATTCTTATAATTCCTAATAACTATGTTGGAAAATCCAGGTTAAAGACAGACAAACAAGACAATTCAGAAAAGTTCCCTAGAGCTACATACAGAGATTTTAAAATGCATCCTAGAAGTATTTCATTAGAGTAACATTTTGCTAATGTTATTCAGCACCTCTTAGGTCCATCAGAAGTCATCTCAGTGTAGAACTAGGCACTTCTAGTTGATTAGAAAAATGTTTCCATTTTATTTGGATTGATAAAACATAGACATCAAAGAAATCAATACTTATCTGTGCATTAAGAAGTTTCAAAAGAACATATCTTTGGGCAGAACTATGTTAATATTATAACCATTTAAAAAGCAGCAAATATGTTGCTTCTTTAAATAAAATGTATGAGCATTATATCTAAAGATATTTTTTGCTGCTTTTGCATATCACCATGAGCTTAAAATTGGCGATCACTGCATATCTTAGCACTTCTTTTACATAATGGCTCATTTCCTCTTCCAATTGCTACCTGGAAAGATAGGTTTCCTCTAAACCAAGTTATAATACATATTTTCCTTACTTATATCCACTATAATTCCTGCCTAAAGTGCCTTTGGTTAGTTATTTGTCTCTGTTTATCATTCTTTTTTCCTAATTTATTAAAAAATATTTATAGAATTGTTCTGTAATGTTAATAGTTTAGTAAATTATGCTATGTATGAATCATTACATGCGCTATTGTTACCATCTTTACATGGAATGCTTCAAGGTCAAGCCAGTCTTGGTATCCAGACATACTTTTAATAAGCTATTAAAAAGTTCTTAGTAAGTCTCTTGAAAAAAGTCCTCCAATATCTAATTTTCAGCTGATTTTATGGCAGTAAACTGAGCTACCGGTATACTCTGTGTCTTGCAGTGAGTCTTTTTTACTGCTATACTGGGCTTTTTTGCCAACAGCTGGCAGAGAACAAAAAGTAGTGCAATCTATTCTCAGACCTCGTTCAATGAAGGCTGACCTTGGAAAGCATTTCTATAAATCTTATAGCTGTATGCTAAATAGAGTTTTGGCAGTGATCTTTTGTCTCTTGTCAGTGCCACAGCAAGGGAAATGGCACTTGCCAAATTATTCTTTCTCAAGCAGAAGCTAAGGGCGCAAATGTTCTCTTTGGATTCATGCATTGGCATCTCCTGGGAAGCTTGTCCTTCTAATCAGATGCCAATGAGAACTTGAATTTGTTAAAGGTCATAATGGGTCTTAGTAAAGGCTCTGACTGTATAACTTTTATCTATTTTGCAGTGCATATGGTGTGGGTATGTGTGTGTGTCATGGTAACTAATATTTATTAACGTGGTGGTAGCTTATTGCATACTAGCTCATAATCTATGGCTATTCAGACTCAAACCATTAGAAGTTAAGGAGCTATCCAATACACTTTAGAATCTGTAAGACACCTCTGGACAATCTATTTTAGATTTATGTATTACTAGAAAATCAAAGCTGTTGATTGTGGTCTGATACCTGTATATGAGAAGCGGGTGAATTGAGTAATCTCTAATCATATTCTTAATGAATGGATGCTATTTTACATGCTATGTGAATTGTGCATACTTAGGATGTATAGTACTTTTATTATCCTTTTTACATATTTTTGTACCTGCCAATAAATTAATAATGTATAGTTTTAGATTGTATATTGAGAGTAGTTTTACACTTTTATCTGAAATGTTTTGCTTTTTTCCTATTTTGGATCCATGCTTCTTTTTGCTTTTAATTTGGATTTACAGTGTCCATTAAAAACAAATAAGAAGCAGTGTAATTGTAGCCAGGCTACTTACAAGAAATTAAAATTAAAACATTACTACTTTTTAATAGAATACAGGCAGTCTCCAGGAATCAACAAGAGCAGCTATAATAAATTCTCACAGCTGAATTAGACATTATTATTATTAGTAGTAGTAGTAATAGTAGTAGTAGTAGTAGTAGTAGTAGTAGTAATATATGGCATTGTTACATTAGCCAGGAGAATACAGTTCTAATGCAGAGTAGTAGTTTGGTTGCCAATTTACTAGCTCTGTTGTGGTGCACACTCACACACTTCCCAAGGTGCGCCATAGGAGGGTGAGCTAGGTTTGCACTAGAAAGAAAGATGATCAGCTCTTCCTGCAGCAGCACCCAAGGCCCCCTCCTTCTACTGGAGCTACTTTGCAAACGGGTGTCACAACTGGGAAGGTTCAGGCACAGCAGGAATCTGCCGCCTGCATGACGTACCAGCTCATCTCCCCATCGAAGTGGTACCTGTTTATCTACTTACATAGAACATGTTTTCAAACTGCTGGGTGGGCAGAAGCTGAAGCAAGTGACAGGAGCTCACTCCGCCACACAATGCTAGGACTCAAACCACTGGAGCAGAAACCATCTCCAGTTTCATTAAGCCACTGAGCCACTGGACCTCAGTTAGCTTTTGAGAAAATGCTTCTTCCTGAAGATTCAAATTGGCTTCTGTATATCTTTAGGATCAGAAACCAATTTGGAGATAAGAACTGCCTAAGAATAAATCTGCAAGTGTTAACTTTTTATTTTGAATTCTTACGTGTGCAATTAAACAATAATGAGAATTGTTGGTGAAACTAATAAACAAAGAGGAGGGACCATATTCAAAATCTTCGCATCTAGGTCCATGTGATTAAGGGGTGGCCTTTTTTGGGGGTTCTGGTTCCTGGACAGCAACTTTCTCATGCAACTGCTATATTAAAAACAGGAGAAACTGAGCAGAGTTTTGAAAATTTCAGAAGGGCCTGGAGGATTGTAAGTGTAGGTCTGCAGGGTTGTTCTTGGAATTATGCATTAAGCGTGGCTATAGTGGGCAACTTTGATTTTCGAACCCGCTAGGTTTTTTTTAATATTGCTTAGCCAGTGGGCTACACATGCCTCAAACATTTATTTAAAAATACCTCTGTTCAGAAATGTTAAATGTATCCTTAAGCTTTAGATCACCATTTCTGATCTCTTGTGCCTCTAAACAAATGTGTATCTGCCAAAAATAATACCTAGTGAAAAAATAATTTGCAGTAAAGGATGACCTGTTTGCACACTTGCATCTCAGACTCATCTTGTGGGATATGGTTGATAGAATTAATCATTTCATAACTCATAGGTCTTAATATCTGCATGGGCGCTGCACTGTTCATGCAATGAAGTATGTTTCTGTTCACTGCAATATATTCTGAACAATATGAAATATTTTAATCTTTAAGTAGTCTACATTTTAGAATTAATTTGTAACCTGAAAGATCCTTATTCAGTTGCAGTATTAATCTTTTGCTTCCTTTTTCTAGAAAATAAGATAATGTAGCTAGATCAACATTAATATTAACTATTTTAGAAATACATGAAATTTGTTAAAAGTATTTGTAATTGTTAATATATTTCTGAATATTTATGCCAAGGAAGTATGATTGAACAACTTACCCGTACTTTGGAAAGAATAAATATTTAGTTTATAAATGTTTAGTTCATTTTGATAGATTTTTGAAACTTGATGCTAATCTGAGTGATAAATATTTAAGGTGTGAAACTTACTTGAAATATTTTCATTCATTAAAAAAAAGCATAGCTTGATTATTCAGTAATGGCATTTTAGTGAACCAACTTGCAGAACATTATAGTTAAATTCACAGTTCTAGTGCTTTCCATCTTCTCATGAATAATTGTTCTCACAAAAGCATATGCTGTAATATTTTCATAATGATTGCTATTTGACAGTCCAGCAGTATGAATCCTTTTCCAAAGTACTAACAACTAAACTTGAATATCTAAATATGCTTCCTGAATTTTAATAATAGCTTTCTTTCCTGTGCATGACATGTTGCTTTTAAAGTCTAAAAAAAGGTGTAGACTATGATATTTCAAGGGGTGGAAGGAAGTCAAAATTGTGACAGGAATATATGTGAAAGCCCTGGGATGCAACTAAAATAGATTTGTGACTTTTGTCTAAAATGTTGTTTGTATTTCAGTTTCTAAAATACAGTCTATAGGTCAGTGATAGCAAACCTTTTAGAGACCGAGTGCCCAAAACCCGCCCCTGCCTCCCCGCCCACTCCCGCTCTGCGCCCCGTCCACCTGCATGGCCACCCACTGCCTCCACGGCCCACCGCAGATTGCCCAGGCAACCCAGCAGTGCCATGGTGCCCACGCCCTCCACCCATGCCCCACAGCATCATCTGTGTGTGACAGGGCGCGAGGGCAGAGTCTTGTCCCCACTGCCTGGCTGCCATGCCCTTGGCTGGGCTGTTCTGTGCAGACTGCGTTCGGGGGCAACTCTCCTCCAGGGGGGCTGCTGGTGAGGAGGAGAGGGCCACAGGGGAGGCGGGGCTGGGGCAACGATGCATGTGCCCACAGAGAGGGCTCTGAGTGCCACCTCTGGCACGCGTGCCATAAGTTCACCACCACTGCTGTAGTAGTCCTCAACTTAGGAACTTATGAGCCCAGAATTACAAGTCATAAGTTGTGCTAGTCATTAAGCATGCTACTTTGTGACATCCGCAGCTGTGCTATAGGTAATCCTCAACTTACGACCACAATTGAACCCCAAATTTTTGTTTATTAAGTAAGTTTTGCCCATTTTATGAGCTCTCTTGCCACGGTTAAGTGAATCACTGCAGTGGTTAAGTTAGTAACATAGTTGTTAAGAGAATCTGGCTTCCCCACTGACTTTGCTTGTCAGAAGGTTGCAAAAGATGATCACATGATCCTGGGACACTGCAACCATCATAAATGTGAACCAGTTTCCAAGCATCCAGATTTTGATCATGTGACTATGGGGATGCTGCAATGGTCATAAGTGTGAAAACTGGTCATAAGTCATTTTTTTCAGTGCTGTTGTAACGTCTAACAGTCACTAAAGGAACTGTGGTAAGTTGAGAACTTCCTGTACCTTTTTACAGTGGTTAAGAAAATGCTATGATTGTTAAGCAAATACATTGTCCACAATGGACGTTTTTTGTTGGAAACCAGAAGTAAATGCCAGTTTCTGGGGGGAAAAGTCATAAATTGTGTACCAGTTGCCGAGTGCTCAAAGTGCAATCACATGACCACAAGCGGTAGGGTATGGGGTCATTATGTATGGGAGTGCCCTGCCCTTTTAAGCAACTGTTGTAAGTCAAGGACTACCCATATTGTCTATTCTATTGTAGGCCACTGGATCAAGCCAAACTTTATTAACATACTATCACAAAGAAGATTACCACGAGACTTAAAAATGATAAAAGGGTAGGGAGGATAGACTCTTATAAATCATATATAATATACTGTTATTAAAGGTCAGGAGGAAGAGAGATGTTTAATTCCCTCTGCTTTCCTGCTCCTCTTGGGAATTTTAAAAATCTTTTCTAAATCTACAGTATCTGTGGTTTAAAATACTTTCTGCTTTTTTCCTTTCCAAAAATTTGCAGAAAATCATGTTGCAAAGGATTCCATCACCAGAAATAGAGAGATACAGTGGTGGGATTCAGCCGGTTCACACCGATTTGGCAGAACCGATACCTAATTTTTTGTTGAGTTCAGTGAACCGGTTACGATAAAAATCTACGAGGCGCATTGCGCTGGTGACGCTGCCATAGCGAGGCATGTTACGTTGGTGATCGTGTCTATGTGACATGTATCACGCCGGTGATGACATCAATGTGATGCGTGTCACACTAGTGATGACAGATATGCGAGGTGCGTTGCACTGGTGATGACAAATATGCAAGGTACATTGCAGCAGAGATGGTGACAATGCAGTGTTGACGAATATGTGAGGCGCATCGCGCCGGTAATGACAACAAACAGAACCGGTTGTTAAGTTATTTGAATCCCACCAATAGATAGAATAGAGAGAGAAAGAGAGAGAGGGAGGGAGGGAGGGAGAGAAATTGTTTTCTGAAGCCCTTGATATACATTTCCACATTTTTCAAATATACATTTAAAAATTTATTTATTATAATTAATTATATTGACATGTAAACTAGTAAAATTGCAAAATGTAGAGATGGTTCATCACAAATTAAATAAGCAATTGATTAAAACAAATGTATAAGGATTCCCATCCACTTAAAAAAATGTTTTAAAATGTAAGATAACAGATAGATAAATAGTATTAGATAGTAACTCCAAACTATTTTCAAATGTTGGAGACAATAAACTTCACAATATTTTTATAGCAATGTATAAAACAAACCAAAAATGTAAATTTCCTTACAGTAAAATTTAGTTGTATTGTTGCTCAATCGTGAGATGGGCAGCATATACATTTAATAAATAAATAAATACATAAATAAATAATTCTGTCCCAGAGACACTTGCAAATTATATGTTCCCAATTATTTGAAGACAGAGTTCCTTAGTCTTTTGTGGCCAGTGGGCATATTTGGAATTTTCAGAGCATGTTAATAGGTATTCCCACTAAATGGTTGTCATGGTCAGCATATCCAGTCACAACAGAAGGCAAACGAACATTAGATTTTATGCGCAGATGCACATGCACGCACACACATGAACACATACACAAACACATAAACACGCTCTTTATTTTCCAGGTTTGTCTCTAATATATGGCCCAGAGACACCATTAGAAATATAGGTTGGTCCTGGTTCTTGTAGCATGCTAGCTTACTTTAAAAAAAATAGAAGACTATAAGTAAGTTGGAGAGGAAATTTGTTAGCTGGGAAGACACGTTGACAAGCACAGTGCTATGCTGGGTATTATTATTGAGGAATGCCAAAAGAGCCATAGAAGAAAGAAACGTACTTCTTTTCATTCACTTCCAGTGGAGGTTAATCTTCTCAACAGAACCTTTTAATTACACTGACTCCTTCATATTCCTAAAAGCATGTGTCAATTACAATAGGCATTTATGTTATAAAATAATCTACGGATGGAATGGCCGATATCTTAGTGTTCCTGTTACACAAGGTTCTCTTCATTTCTGGGAGACTTGATATGCAAAGTCGGTTATTCTGTCTATAGTGTTACACTAAGCAGTTTTGACTGGTTTTTAGTGGTTTCGTTATGGTCATTTTATAAGCTAGAATAAGATTTATTGCCTTTTACAGATATCCATGTTTACGGTTTGTGAAGCTGATGCTTAGTTGCATTAAATATATTTTTGAGTTTTTAAAAACAGTTACGTTTCATCTTTGTTAGATGTGTTCATTTCTGGTGCTAATTAACAATATAAAGATCAGTTTTTAAATAATCTTGTTACTATGGCCGAATGCTTACTTGTAGATACAGATGTTGTAGTGTACATAATAGAATTACAGTCTCATAAATGTGCTCCTTTTGTGGATTAGTAATTTCAGTAGATAAATGCAGTCCAATGCTAAGATTCTCAGCACATTCTTCTTATTGAATCTTGCAGATCTGTGCATATTTTTGAGCCTTCACGGTTCTCTGAATGGAAGCACTCCATTCTCTGAGGCAATATTACACATTTTAATCAAAGACAGTTACTATCAGCCATCATTTAATGATTCAAGGGTATCGTACTTCTGTCAGCATTTGAATATATTTTCATGTCTGAAATATGTGCTTGTGTGTGTGTTTGTGTATGTGTCTGGGTGAATGCTAAATACCATACACTATTCAATTTAATTCTCTGTTTCAAATGTGAAAATTAAAATATGCCTCTGTAAAGAAATTAGATATCTGGAAGTAACATTCTTAAAATAATTCTTTTTTGATAACTAGTTTCTCTTTATATTTGACTGTTCTTATTAACTTCTTAAGACAATCACTGGCTTGATTGTAGGATTATGCAAGGATAAAAGAAGTGCGGACTTGTCTTCTCATGTCTGCCTATCACTTCTTTCAGTTGTAGCTTCCATTCTACAAACATCACATTGCACATTCTGCAGATTACAGAAGTGGTTTTCAGAAGAAAGAGCAGGACTTTTTGTGTTGCAAAAGGATTCTCTTCAAGCGTTTTTTGCACTGGTCATTCTCTAGATTATAAATATCCATTTCTGCAATATGTTGATATACTACTCTGAAAAAGAGTACATTTCTGAGACAATAACACTTTATTTTCGTAATAAACAAGACAAGTTTTGTTGGCTTTTTCTGTTTTATATGGTAGAAGTGACCTTGATATCACTTGAAAGTAAAATATAGGATATGACGTTTGTAAACATTATAGAACTTAGTGTAATTTATACTTATATTTTAGTTTTCAATTACAGATCTGCAAATTCAAAAGTTGATGTGATAGGTTCTTTACCTCAGACTTAAATTTGGAGACAATGGCGAACAGGGCTTTCTTTAGCTGTGTTGAATGTGGTTTATACATTATACAATTCAAATATGAATTACTGTTATGGGAATTCTGGAAATTTGGGGCAGAGCAATTAAATGTGCATGGGAAGATAGCAACCATTCTTTGTTGGAGACTTTCAGCTCCACCATCAGTAACTGCCAACATGTGATCTCCCAGAAGAAGATGGATTCCTAAAAAAGACTGAAAAAAGTATTTCATCCTGCAGAAAAGGGAGCTGCACACGATCCTTGAGAACAATTTTGTTCCAGTCAAGCCAGCAATCTTCTGTTTCAAAAAGTGCTTACTCTTCTAAATGTCTGAATGATACTTTAAGCAGTCAGTTGTAGGTGTGCATAATTTTCAAATATTTTATACATCAAGTTCCATTACAAATCATAGTTATTGTATATCTTAGTACCTTTTCCATGGAATACATGAGATTTATGAAAAGTGCCACTCAAGAGACCATTTTTTGCAGTCTGTGAATATTGTTACCTGCATTTCTATTTTACTCAAATGCTTTTGAATGTAATGATGAGTGTTTTTGCCTTCAGTCTGCTCAGGTATTTTATGTTAGAGTATTTTGGTGTATTTTTTCAGTTTTAATATTTTGTGTATTAATAAAAGGAAAAAAATAAAATATGTTTATAGTGTTCTTCAACAATATAGAGCAGTGATGGCAAACCTATGGCACGCGTGCCAGAGGCGGCACTCAGAGCCCTCTCTGTTGGCATGCCGCCACTGCTGCCAGCATCTCACGCAGGTCCATTAGGCTGCTGCTGGTGCCCGGAGCAACAGCCCCGCCCAGCACAAAGGAGGTGAAGCGGCCAGCTAGCAAGCTCGAGTAGAGGTGGTAGAGCCGGCCCCCATGCGCTCGCTGGCCTCTGTGTGCGGGGGCCGATGTTGTCAGGCAGCAGCCACCCCTGCCTCGCCTTGCCTTGCCCTGCAACAATGGCATCCCTGCCCTATCCCTGCCTCACCCTGCAGGAAAAGCCTCCTGCCCACCAGCCCACCCACCAGAGATCCCCTAGATCTCCCCCAATCCTGCCCAGCCCCCATAGGCGTCCCCCTACAAACAACACCCCACGCCCACACCGGCCATGCCTACTCAGTCTGCCATGACCACCACAGCCACACCCACCCAGTGGGCCATGCCCTCCCACTGCCCCCCCGAAAGCACCACAATGTTGATGCGGCCCTGGCACTTTGCGATAAATAAGTGGGTTTTGGGTTGCGGTTTGGGCACTCGGTCTCTAAAAGGTTCGCTATCACTGATATAGAGCTAGCTTCAATTTTCACACCACGTTTTTTAAGCAGTGGGTAGAACTAGCTCTGAAAGCATTATATTGCTAAGTTACTTGATTGTTTGCTTTTGTTCA